GAAGAAGAAAGATAAGTAGAAGAAAAATAATAATAATAATAATAAGAAGAAGAAGAAGGAGAGCACCGGCCATGTGGCTCGTCCGTCCAGGCAAGGCGATGAGCAGACCCCCGCGCGCCCTGACGAGTTCACCCGACCAAGGATGATCCGCCGATGGGCGGGCCGAGGTGGGGGCTGTCCCTGTGGCGACGGGGAGCACAGGGCACCATCGGACCTCCACTCCCTGGCGGCGAGCGCCGCGGCACGTGTAGCGGCCCCCAAGGTCGCAGTAATTACGCTTGTGGCGGAGAGAAGCGCGCGCAGTCCGTGGCTGCAGCCCTGAGGCGCCAGCCCTGGCGGCGCGTGGGTTGCGGCTTGTCGGGCGTTGCGCAGTGGGGGGCCAATAGCTGGGGGGATGAGCCCAGAGATCCGGGGATGTGATCTTTTAAATCCGTCGGTGTGGATTTCGGCCTCCGGGGCCTGTTATCGGGCCCGGCGGCCATCAAAACTGGATCTGGGACGAAAAACCACCTCCGGTGAAGGGGTGGGGACCTCTGGGGCGGCGGATTGAAAAAATCATGTCGGCGAATGTTCGGGAAGAAAGGAGCACTTTCTTGTGCCCTGAAGTGGACCCCTGAGACCCACAAGGGGAACGGAAGGTGTAGGTTCCCCCCCCCTCATGTATCGCCCGCCCCCCCCCCCTCATCAAGGAAGGAAGGAAAAACAACCCAGACCCCGACACTTGGCATTTACTAAACAGCCCTGCCCTGTTCGATTCCTTCCTTGGGGGCGTTTACTAGACTCATTTGCTTGTCGGGGTGATTCTTTTGAGGGTGGATTTTCTGCTCACTACCTTAAGCAATGCCAAAGGCGCGTAGGTGATGGCTTGGGAGTGTGTCCAGAAAACCGAGGACTTTTTGACCTTCGCTGCGTGGTGACGAAAGGAGGAGTGGCGCCGTCATAGGCGAGCAGCTGTATCTTGTGGATTCGATTCGAAGTGTTATCGATGCCGATCCGGCTCCACCTAACATTGCCGCCCCCGTGGGAAGGAGAGGAGGAGGGCCAGTGTAAACCCAAGACTCGCCAACGATGTTGCAATTCACTCTTCATCCAAGTTCCCTTCACAGGCTGCATACACGGGTTCATTCTTATCCAAGAAAGTACCCCGTTGGAAGGCAACCATGTGAACATTTTGAAGTTTGCCAGAACGCTACTCCTGGGACTTCAACGCCGCATCTCACCGCTACTATCGCGCCTTGACGGCCTTGAGTGGTGCCAGAAACTCTTTCCTGGGATCCGAGCACCACGAATCAAAGTAACTGTTGCGCCCTGACAATTCGACATCGTGCTAAAACGATAGTTCTGGGACGTTGACCATGCGAATCCTTGAAGCTGCTGTACAATATTGAAAAGTTGCGCGCGGCGCTCAGGCGAGAGCCACGTGTTGAAAAGGAGCCGCCCTCCATCCGTGAAGCTCTTGCATATGTTTAGGCCGAATGTGCGCGGCGCTGAGGCGAGATTCACATTTTGAAAACGGCCCGACCTCCACCCGTGACATGTTTTACCATGTGTTGGACTAATGTGCGTGGCTCGAAGGCGATAGCCACACTTTCAGAACGACCCGCCCTCCATCAGTGGAACTATTGCTTCATTTGAAGACGGATGTGCGCGGTGCGGAGGCTAGAGCCACATTTGGAAAACGACAGCTTCTCGCAAGTTTCAAGCTCTTGTGTCATAGATGGTAAGGAAATGTCAGGCGAAAAGCCCGGCCCGCCGTCTCGACTGGCTTCGGGGCTCGACAGGGAGGAGTTATGCAGAAGGAAAAGGAATGCGGCAGAGGAGGAAGGGGTTTGAATGGAGAACGGGACGGAATGAGGATGAGGGAGGAGGAGTCGGATACATTGATGTGGAAAAAGAGGGAAGGCCGAGCAGGAAAGGGATCAAGAGGAGGACGGTCGGGAGGAGTGGGGCCGGCAGTTCCGCGACGGCCATCGGTTGGGGCGCGAGCGTTCCCACCGTGTCGTGTCGTACGTTCGTGCGGTTTGGAGAGGATGAGGAGAAGGAGGAAGCGGAATATGTGGAGCGAGGGACCACGTTGGGCACAATTGTGACATCGCTAGAGTCATGCTTCAAGTTGATCGCGCACACACTCCATGGTAGTGGTTTTTGGCGGACTACACTCCGTATCTCGAAACCGCCGCCAGTTGCCTGACACCCGTACCATGGAACATCGTGGCCTGCTCTTTGGCCGCCTGGATTTCAGGGCCAATCCATCTGAAGCGCTCAAACGACCATCAGCCACTTGCAGTGCTGAGACGAGGGAGAGGAGCAGTGGCAGCAAGAGGAACAGCGGAGGAAGTAGCAGGAGGGGTCGGAGCATGATGCAGGGGCGCGCGCATTGAACACGCGGCTGCGATTGGCAGGTGGTGCACGTTCTGTCCACCGAGAACTTGGAGTTGGGCTGCAACCTGATCGAGCAGGCGGTGGTGGACAAGGCACGCAAGGATATCGACGAGGAGACCGGGCGCCTCTCATTATCCCTGGCGCCGCGCCTTGCGCGGCGTTTCGGCACAACAGTTTTGTCGCACCAGCCGTTCTCCGTTACGGATTTGGCTCTTGATCTTGCACCTGCTCTGTTCTGATGTGCCCCCCTTGCACGACGCCGTGGCGGAGGAGCAGCAGGAGGAGCAGGGAAGGGATCAGGAGGCAGACGGGCAAGAGGAGGAGGAGGAGGAGAAGGAGGAGAGGTGGAGGTGAGAGGCTTGAGGAAGTTGCTCAAGCTTACCAAAATATTGGAAGATGCTTATGGGGCGTTTATAGATGGCTTTGGGACGTTTCCAGAGGGAGGAACAGGAGGAGGAAGATGAGGAGGAGGAGGACGACGACGAACCAGACGGTGGCGACGACGGTGGCATCGAGAAGTGTGAGCAAGAGGAGGGACAACAGCCGCTGGAGTATGATAGAGAAGATGTGGGGACTATTGGATGAGCGGGCGTAACTGGCAACAACAAGCGACGACTTGCATGTGTGATAATGGCTCAGGCAGACAATTGCATGCCAATTGTTTGATGCACGTTTCCAGTAAGCTAGCCACGTTGACGGTGTTGCCGCGAGACCAATAGTAAGCATCAACATGACATGATACTCTCTAACCTTCTTGCTCAAGGTACCCGAGCTGTGCGCATACGAGCTTCGTGCGAGTTTAGTTGTTTGTGACCACAGCAAGTACAGGTCCAGAGACCTCGTCGCAGAGATCATGGCGTCCTCCCCCATGGTGGTCATGGTGCTGGCGCTCTTCATGCCTGCGGCGGTGGCGCGCAGGAGCCAGATGGGCTCAGCCTCCCTGAAGCGCGAGGACGAGGAGTGGTGGTGGACACCCTTCCAGGATGACCTAAGCCCAGTCAAGGATGCCGCGCTCACACCCCAACGTTTCACTGGGTGCGAGCATATTGGGGTCGTGGTTGAGGGGGACGCGAACCGCCCAGACATGCGGGAGGAGGCCCTCCTGTGGGTGGATTTCCTCATGGATCAGGGCTACTGTGTGGCGTACTTCTTCGACTGGGCCCGGCACGCATCCCACGCCTGGTCGAACAAAGATGTCACCATGAATTTCGGCCTTGGCTGGAAGGATGCTCTCAAGGAGGTAGAGCAGTCTAACGACGGGCAGGTGGTGCAGATCATGAACTCCACCAAGGAGAACTGGAAGATTTTTACGAGCAGTTTTGAAACGATCTGCAAGACGGAGGGCTGTGCCCTGAAGCGGGTCGTTTTCGCTTTCGAAGATCATGGGGAGTACCGGCTGCTTGGTCTGCCGGAGCACAAGAAGCTCATGCGGGAGGATTTGCTCGGTGGCCTTCGGTCTCTCTATCGCGCAGGCCCTGACGTGAAGCTCCTCGCTTACGTGAGCGCCTGCAAGTCCGGCTCCATGTTCGGTGGCCCGCAGTACTCCGCAAAGGAGCTCCTGCAGGCTCGGTTGTTGCCAAAGGTGTCCCCGGCCCAGGGTGTCCCAGGGATTTCCTGCAAGACCCTGGAAGGCTTCCGAACCACCCCTCGGGAAGGCAAGAGGGCCGCAGTGGTGCGTCTGTGTACCCTGCCCACCTCTCCTACCTTCCACCGCCCCACTGCTGTCTTCTTGGCGCAGGCAAAGCTGGGTAGCCCTGCCCCCCTGCCCCGAGAGAAAAGGTCCATTGTCACATGCAACGGATCACTGGGATGGACCAGGCTCCTTGGCCCACTCACCTCACGCACATGCACACGCACATGCACACGCACACGCACACGCACACGCACACGCACACACACGCACACACACACACACACACACACACGCACGCACGCACGCACGCACGCACGCACACACACACACACACACACACACACACACACCAGGGGGGATCCAAAATGGCGCGAGAAGCCGGGGAGCTTCCCCTCTGCTGCCCCTCCCCGACAGGCGCACTACATCGACTGCGAGCTGCGAGACGACGGCTGCGTGGCGGGCGCGCTCTCGGCGGGAGGGCAGACGGTGGTCATCGCAGGGCACTCCGTGGTGGGCGTGCGGCAGCGGGCGCTCCTGAGGGCCACGGAGGGCCTGATGGAGGCACAGGCCGGGCGGGGCCAGGACGGGGAGCAATCCGTTCCAGAGCGCTCCGGAACGCCCTCCCCAGGCATCCGCTGGCATGATTTTGTCAATCCGCGGCCCCAGAGGGCCCGACCCCTTCCCTTGGGGTGGTTTTTCGTCCCGGAGCCATCTAGACTGGTCCCCAGAGGCCGAAATCCAAGAAAAGCACCGGATTGAAACAATCCTATCCTCGGATCTCTGGGTCAGAGCGTTCCGGAACGCTCTTAGACGGCCGCGGCACCCGAGACATCCTCCTGAGCCGCCGGGTCTCAGAGGTTCCCGATGTATCCTCACCCGAATGCATCCTCGTCCTGGCTTTGTCTCATCAGGCCATGTGCGACCTGGCGACCGGAGACGGACCAAACTCGGGCATCTTCAGCCAGCTGCCGCCCGAGAAGCTCCACCAGCTCGCTGGGGCGCTGCGGAACGCGTCGGCGGCCGCGAGCCCCGAGGAGGCAGCGGAGGCGAGGCAGCTCCTCGCTTCCCTTGAGGGCTTCCTCGGGAAGTGGCCTCGGGCGGACAAGGCTGATTCGAGCTGGCAGCTAAAGGTCGACGAGGCGATCAGGAAGCTTGAGGTGCTCACCCACACGTTCGAAATCTGGAAGGAGCTTGTCGTCGCCCTGAAGAAGTACCGAGGAGTCACCACGCCCGAAGCACTCCAGGAGATCATAATCCATCTAAGCGCGCTGCCGCGTACATACGCCACCGCGCTCGGGGATGTGGCCAGCTTCTTCAGCGTAGCTGCATGCCTGTGTCGTGGCGCAGCCGCGCCACTATTGTTGAACCCGAACAGGGTCTCAAGGCCGTTTGGTGACCAAGTGGAGTCCACGTGGGATCATCTGGGGTAATGGGCAACATTGCTGCTCAACACATCAATGCACATGTTTGGGGCTGGCATCCTCGATGCTTAGGGGAACTCTTGGGGCCTGATGGGGTAGTGTCCAGGGTCATGTAGCTCGCGTGCGCCATGGTGTCGTGATCTCCAGGGTCCGTGGTCCGCCCCGGGCCACCCCGTGGCAGCTCCCAGACATCCAGCGTCCTGGCTTTTCCGGACATGACTCGCAATACCTCCTCGACCCCGTACCTAGGGCCGGCGTTTCATCCCGCATCGTCTTTCGCCAGTTCCGGGCAAAAGCTCACATTGAGTTCGAGCAGGCCGTGGCCACTTTCTCGAGCCGCAGGATGTCCTCGTGGGCGAAACGCGGATCCGTATCCGCGAAGCCGCGGATGCGGGGCGTTTTCTCGCAGATGTCCCGCGCCGAACGGATCCGAGCGGCCGCGTGTCCGCGGGATCGCGCCACGGAGTCCAGACCGCGAGGGCGCGGGTACGGATATGGTCGCCTGGAGTTTGTGGCAGCGTGGGGGGCCCGCGACAACGACCGGAGTCAGGCTAGCCAGACGAGCTGGCTCGACTCACAGCCTGGCGGCCAGCCACGTGGGCCGCCGCATAGGACGTATAACAAAGCAGTTGCAACATTCACGCTTTGCTCGAGACTCCTTCAGGGAATTCCTTACCGCACAAGACGTTCGCCGCTCGTTATGTCCAGGGTGGGTTGTCGGCGCGCACAGATGGTTGGCGCGACGGGGGGGGCCTTCTAAGAAGGCGGCGCGCTTCTTACCTGGAAGGCATGGGCCCTCTTAGAAGGGCCTGGAGGTTTCAAAGAAGGCTTCTGAAAAGTCTGACCTGGCATCGCTCGGACGTGCGCATTTCTTCTTCGGCGAGGACCATCGAGGAGCATCCTGGACCATCGAGCAGAAAAAACACGCACGAAACCGAAAAAAACACAGGGAATGGACGTCCGAGCGATGGCAGGCTGAGGGCCTTCCAAGAAGGCCCCTTCCTTCTCAGACCCCCCCCCCCGCCTTCTTAGAGGGGCGACCCCATGGCGCTACCCCCGTGTGCGCGCCGCCCAATTCTTGGGACGGGCGGGGGGTGGCCGCAGACTGGTCGTGTTGCCGTCCGTGGTCGTCTTCGGCAGGTCCATCAGGCCGCCCACCGGCCGGCGTCTGGTGGCTCCGCCGCTGTGTGCCCGCGGCGGGCGTCAGGAAGTGTGCGGCGTCCAGGGGCGGAGGTGTATGCCAGGAGAACGATGATGGGGAGGAGGAGGAGGAGGAGGAGGAGGAGGAGGAGGAGGAGGAGGAGGAGGAAGACTGCCGAGTGCGCTATATGCTTTCAGGGTGCCTAAACCCGTCTTTAAGGATGAGGCGACCTTCAGAACTGCAGTGCTCCGCGACCCACTGCCTGAAGCAGCTTGCCCCTGCAGAACGGATATGTTTGAAAGGGCTCTTGGGGGTCTCATCCTTAAAGTCGCGAGTGTGGCAGAAACCAGTGCGCCCTGACTCACTCGGTTCCCGCCATACTTCGAGAGGACAGCCGGTTGGACTGTTCGGGTGCGCCATGGGGGCTCAAGGTTTCCCATGTTGTTCTTTTCTGTCAGCCTTCTTGGGCCAAAAAAACTGCGGCATGCTGCGAGGGGGGGGGGGGGTCGCGGAGGAGGAGGAGGAGGAGGAGGAGGAGGAGGCGGAGGCGGAGGCGGAGGCGGAGGCGGAGGCGGAGGTGAGGAGGAGGAGGAGGAGGAGGGGAAGGAGGAGGAGGAGGAGGAGGAAGAGGAGCACAAGAAGGGAGGAGAGGAGGAGGAGGAGGAGGAGGAGGAGCAAGAGGAGGAGGAGGAGGCGGAAAAAGAAGAGGAGGAGGAGGAGGAGGATGAAGAGGATGAAGAGGAAGGCCTTTCTGGCCCCGGGCCCCCACGCCGCCGCGCCAGGACCCAAGAGGGGGGGCCGGATTCAGCGCGCCCACCGCCATCAGCGGCGCGCGCCTACAACGTGGACCCGACCCCCTGCCAAACGAAGATTTTGAACGTCTGCAGCAACAACAAGTAGCGGCACAGCGTCATCCACCAGAGGGTGATCATTCCTGTCTACTGCGTTAACCACGTGGGGGCGATCTGCCGCGTCTACCGCGGTACCCACCAGGGGGCATCAACCGCGTGGAGGACAACATCCGCGCCTACAACATCAACTACGAGGCGCTGATCTACAACAGCCACGGAGTACTCAGGCCTCCAAAAAAAACACGGCATGGTCTGGCACGTAATAGTACGAGCCCCACGAGTACAATATCGCTTACTACCTGCAGCACTGGTTGCGAGTTAGCGACTTCACCAACACTTAGGATCAATGGCGCCAGCTCGCAGGCACCGCGCTCCCGAGCAAGAGGCTCACCAGGATGTGCGGTACGGAAGACAGCACAGCAAGGGCAAGCGGAATGTGCCGAACAGAATTTGGAAGTGTGATTGTGGTTGCCGTTCGAAATAAATGAGGACGACAACTACGACCACCACGCCTGTTCCAGAAGATGGCGGCCGACATCAATTAGGCCGGACGACAAAACTGGTGAACGCATTGCGGAGACCATCCCAACATATCAGGAACAAGAGGCAGCGGCCAGCAAGGAACGAATAACCACCCTGAGCAAAAAGGCTGAGTACTACAACCACCGCCTGCAATGCCATAGCACGCCTCACAAGCTGGCAAAATCATACATGGCCAACGAACAGACAGGACAACTATGTCACCCCCTCTCCGAAAACATCGCCTGCATCAAAGCAACTACATGCTACGAACAATCCAGCCGATTGGCCTCAGGCTCAATCTGATACGGTCGAAAAAATCGACCACATCATGGCGAGAGATAACCTGGGCAAACAATTTCAAAAGACCGGGCACGAAGAGCGAGCGAGAAAGACGAAAGACTCACAGGCATTTCCAGGTCGAGTAAGGTGGGTCGAAACTAAATCCACCGACATCGCTGCGGGCCCCAGAAGAGATTGTGCGCCCAGGCCGTCCATTAGCGCCCCAGCTTCAAGAACGCGGGCCGAATGCCGATGATCGTCGTGAAGGCATTTTCCATGCTCGCCGGCCAGAGTATTCAACATTCCGTTCGAATTGAGACTGCCAGAATCTGGAGCAGAATGGCGAAATCGAAAATGCCAAACACAGGCGACAGTTCGAGACCGATGCGGAACACGTCGAAATCGACAACGCCGAATGCCACGCCGAGTGGTACCACCAGATTCAATACCTCACTTCCAAGGTTGCCACGTGCAACGCATAGATGAACACCCACAGCACTAGTGCTTGGGATGCGGCCGGCGACTTTCGCCGGGCACGAGCCCTGCGCAACAACGAACACATGGACATGGGCGCGCTCCTTGCCCCTGAACAGACGGAACTTCGGGAGTCAAAGAGGATGCTGTGGTTTCTCGCAGAGGGGCACACGCGCTACCGCATCAAGTACGAAAACACATATGGAAACACATGCGGAAGTTATGCAAGACGAGCACGAACAACAGTCACTTGTACAGGCAGACAAGAAGATGCCCCCCCCCCCCCTCCTGTGACAGCATCCAGTGCGTGAGGAACACCCGGGGCGGCCTGGCGCGCGACGCTGCCATCTGGAAGCAGAAGCTCGAGAACACGGAAAACCATCCCTGCGTCACCAGGTCCAGACTGCAAGATGCAGAAACAAGACTCACAGGGTCTACCTAGGCCTCGACCTCCCTGGGAAAACGCGCAGCTTCTGGCAGGAATGCGTGCCAGAGAAGCGGCAATGGGCATCCCTCAAGCACGAGTGGAATGAACGCCATGAGCGACCATAATTAGGTGGAAAGACCCAGCAAGCCACAAACTATGACACGCAGAAGGTCGAGAGCATACTGAGACGGTCGGACATATGAATCGCGCCGAAGAGCGCGCGCGGCATTTGCGCGATCAGGAGGAACAAGACCTGCGGCGAACATCTATGATCCAGGAAGGTACGGCGGTCTTCAAGCGCCGCTCATCGCGCGCGCCACGCGACGCGAGCTTTGGACGAGCGAACGGGGATGGCGCCACCTGGCCGCGCCAGGGCGCGGACCTCGCCAGAGCCGCACTTCGCTTGGCGCGGTAGAGATGCGGGACGGCGCCACAGAGAGGAGGGCCTTGACGCTGTCCTCGCCGGGATAATCGACGCCGGCCTCGACTCCGACTCTCAAGGGGAAATGAACAATGGCTCCTCGAGTATTCCACGCGCGTGACCGCGGCATTCCAGAGCACCAACCGGAGGACAAAGACAAACGCAGAAATCGACCGCCGATCGGGGCGCCCACGCCCATGCTGCGACAACGCGGACAGGGCCGAAAGATGGTTTGCCGCCAGCGCCAGAGCGCGGCCCACGAGGATGACGCGCTGCCGATGGCGCAACGGCCCCCCTGCCCCTACTAGCGCGATTGTGGAACGGGGTCTTGCACTTCAAAAAGTAACTGTGCACGCCGCCGATCGAGGGCCTCCGCAGAGCGAGCAGAAGGGCGCCACCAGAGCAAGGGAGATCCAATTCGTGCCAGACACCGCGCGGAAAGAGCAACGTCAGCGGTCGGCGTCTACTTTGCCCCATCAGCGAGGAGTCTTCGGGAATTGCCGGGGCGGCGCGCGCGGCGCTCGCGCCGCCCGAGGCGCAAATCTGGATCAACGGCGCCCATGCCAGAGCCGCCGCGATGCGCGGGGGCCGCCGCCCCCCGCCGCCGCCGCGCCCGCCCCCGCCGCCTGCGCCCCCCGCCGCCGCCGCGCCCCCCGTCGCCGCCGTCGCCGCCGTTTCGCAGAATAAGACCGGTTATGGTGACGAGGCTGGCCGAATAGTTCGGGGCATGCCCATTCGCGGCCCCCGACAGAGGCAGCGACGAAATCGCGGCCCCCGACGCCAACGCAGCTGCGCGACGCGCGTGCTTCGACGCGCGCGCGCGGCAGATCCATGGGGGCTCGCTAGCCCGCTTGTCCATGCCGACGGAGATAGGTCTACGCGCGCGCCCATTTGGCCGTTGATTCTGTCTCGGGCTATTCGCCAGGAGCGCAGCGCGAACCGGTGATGGCCATGTCGCAATTGTGACAGTTGCGCGGGCACCGTCCCCATAGTAACCCAGCTCGCGGTCGCGACGGCGCGTGGGCGACATATCGCATAGAGGCGACAGTGCCTTCACCTGCCCCGCCAGCCACAGTGCCCGCGGGGATGCTCCTTGGAACTATGGAAAGCCCAGGGCGAGGGCGAGGGCGGGGCCGCGCTGGGCTGAATGGGCTGACGACACCGCGACGACGGCGACGACGCGGCAGACGCGGACGCCACCCGCCGCGCCCCGCCCGTCGCTGGGGCAGCAACCGCGAGACGGACGCCGGCCGGAGAGCGAACGTGCAGATGACTGCACTCGTACCACTCAAGACCTATTGCAACAACGCGAACGACGAGACCCTGATCCAGGGCTCGAGTCCACGCCGGGATACGCACGCATCAGGAGCCGCTGCTACATCGGGTTCAAGGAGACGCCGAGACAATGCTTCCGAGAGCAAGTGCTCAAAGAGCTAACCGCAAGCCCCGAGGGCACTGGGATGCTGGAAGTATGTAGTCAGGCAACCAGTAAACAGAGTCTAATACCGTTGCCCAGTGCAAGAGACATCTACACGAACGGCAGCCACAGGAGCACAGTCCCAGGCAATGCAGCATGGGGGCGGGTCATCACTGATTCAGACACGGACGGCGTAAAGCCTGACAGTTGCGACTGCAAGGGATGCGTCGCGGCCGGGGTCAAGGGCTCCACCGGCGGAGAGACTATTTCCGCATCCTGCGCATCGGCAGAGCTACGCGGCATCATCTGAGCGTTCCCGATAATCCGGCACACGGATGCCCCCCCCGCAGTTGCCATGCTCTGCGGCTCTACAGTCACCGTGTATCTTGCGACGCGAGAGTGTCAACCGAGCGCAGACCATGGACAGTCGGCATTGGCAGCGGGCCCTCTGCGACGAGACAGGCGCGGGCAGCCACCTGGATATCCATGGGGCAAACTGCGCGCAGCCACCGCCCCTGGAACGGGCGCGCCGACGTTGCAGCCAAGGCAGCGGCATGCGCGGAACAACCCGCTACAGATGAAGCGGCGTCGGCCATTTGTCGATGTCACCGTCGTCGCCAGCTGGCAGTGGATCCTACGCGCCGCGCCCGACGATAGGCCAGCCGACCCCGAAGACGGCGCGAAGGAGTTGACTTCCGACAAGATGCCCCAATTCAATCCACACAAGCACCGACCGCAGCCGTCGCGGCGGCGCGAGACCCAGGCAGACATCAAATTCTGGGAGCACCCTGTCGCGGAACATGCCCAACCTCACCGACGAGGACGACGGCGGTCAGCCAGGGCGCGCGCAGACGCGGAAGAACAGACATGTCGGGGAGGTTTCGCCACCGCGTGTCCAATGTTACGCAGACCTCTTCGTCGCTGTAAATTAAATAACAAAGCGCAACCCAGGACAGCCATGCCTGCAGTGTGATCCACTCTGGAGCCAATGGGGGACACTGCGGGCGCAGCCTCGTCATCGACGCCAAGCTCAGCTTTGCCTCGCAAAGAGGGAACGTTTATTGCATCAAGGACAAGCACATGAAAACACGGTTACAGGCACATCGATTTCCCATCGTGCCATTGGACGCCTCGTGTCTCAGTCGCGTCATCACGGGCGGCCGCGCACCGCCCATGCACGCGCAGTTTTCCTGGCAATTGCTCACGGGAGCAACTCGCAGAAGGTGGCCCCGGCGCCGTATTCTTCGATGGCAACTGCAGGGCTGGAAGCCAGGCGCCCCGCTGAATTTTGGGCAAGGGATGGAGCGAGCGAGGTTGGCGACAAAACTAGCGCGCGCATGCGCCGCGTGCTTTCCGAGGCGAGCACCTGCTTGGCGCGCGCGCGCACTCGCTCGCCGCGACCGCGCGATGAAGGATAGACGCGGCCATCGGCGCAGCCGCGCTCAAGGATGGATTGGATTCAAGCTGCAGAAGAACTATCAAATGCGCGGTGGACTGCGCCGCCCAGAACACGGCGCCAGGATTGTGGACAAGGAGGGCCACCTGCCGGCAGTCGCTGGCATGAGGGTCAGATCCATGCTGCACGCCAAGAAACAGGGGCTTCCAGTGTGACAGCGCCAAGGCACGCGACCCTGACAGCAGAGAAATGTTTGGGCAGTTACCGCGAGCACAAAACCGACCTTCCTGGAGCGCAGACGTCAACGACCACTTGATGACCGCACCCGTGTCCGCACGCCACACGACGGAAAAATATATTGAAGGCAGAGGCGCCCCCGCACATGGGCGAGCGATCCGCGATGGCGACGCGGCTCATCGGGCTTCGCAGACAGGCACGTCTTGGCTGCAGGGGTCACGCCAGAGGCCGCATCATTCGGGAAGCTCGCGTTCCCCATGCAGCAGCACCACAACCTCGACCCTGCGGTTGCCCGGCGCCAAGAGGCCACCAACTTTGCGCGAGCCAATCGAGACTACCGCCTGTGGCAGTGCACCAAGCAACCCCTTTGCCAAAGGGCGGGGTACTTCCCGGCGATCACTGAGTCCGCCCGTAGAAGTACTGGCAAAGGACCGATGCTCGCGCCACAAGACGAAGCCGCGTGATTGGCCGACGCAGCTCGGGGGGGCAACGCGAGAGCGACGTGGGTCGAACGCGCCAGCTACGCCGAGCGGCAGGATGCATATAGACAAGGCACCGCACATCGCAGATTGCCCCAGCGCCGCGCGACGGGCGCGGGCGGCCGACCTGCGACGACTCGCAGCGGGGACCGTGGAAGATACATCACTTCGCCAAGATGCAGGGGACACAAGAGACTGTCTGGAACGAGCTGGCGCGACGATGCAGTGCCCAGGGCGAGAAATCATACGACATACTGCGACGACGTCAACCCGTAAACGGTGGTATCAAGCGAAGAGCTTGTGACCAGAATGGTCAACGCAGCCAGAGAACGGGATATTGGACAGGAAGGGCCCAGCGACGATGTTGCTGCGGCAGCCCGGAAGCCGATGGGGAGATGCCCGCGCCAAGTTCATGGGGGGATGGCGCTGCTACCACGAGAGCTTCTTTCACTCGCCAAAGGAGAAGTTGCAGCCGACGTCTTTAAGACAAATGCGCAGGGTAATGCGCGACATAGTCGGTCCATATTGATTTGGACCACCATTGCGAAGCATTGCTACGCGCGCACCAGGGCCATGCTGAATGACGCGCTCCATATCAGCCGCTCGGACTCCATCTTCGGTGGGAAGAGACGCAGAGGGTCTGCCATGGCTACGCAGGTTGTGAGATCTATAAGCTCGCTTGCGCGCGCGAAGCATTACGGCCATGCTGCCGCTCCACGACCTCAAGAAGTCGTACTGCGCTATTACCAAACATATCGTTTTGCACATGAACACAGATTCTAAAGCCCTCCAGGCCGTGGCCCAAAATCCATGGAGTTCAAGAGCAGTTCAACGGCATAGTGGAACACCTGCGACAGTGCCCAGCAGGGTTCCAACGCCCCCCCAGCCCCCCTGCATCTTGGACACATGGTTCAGCGCCAAGGGTTTCCTGAGAGTCGCGCGGGCTACATCTGGGTCGAGGTCAGGTGCTAGTCATTATACCCACATGTGCGAATGCGCATTCGGGGCAGGCTTGCTGACATAGGATTGCCCTTTGACGCTGCCGCCTAGGATCTCGCGAGTGAAATTGCACAAGATGAGGAGGCGCCACCGGTAGCCTACGACAGCACCTATCAAGACGATTCAGGATCATACAATGTGGCCGAGAACAACAGCGTAAGTGAGCCAACAATCGTCAGCTTCACACAAGGGGTAATGATAGATGACTTGAACACGCACGAGTCCTAAGCTACGACCGGGGCATGGCGCAGGTCCTTGTATCGATACACGGAAACATGCAAGAGCAGCAAAGCAGCTTCTCTTTGGGACCTGTAACGGACGCATTCCAATACTAGGCGCGGACCTGGCCGTTGGCACTGTCACAAAGGCCAAGCACTTGCGTGGAATGTTTGCAAGAACGCGCTGCCGACAGCCACGCGCTGCGCGGGCTAGTGCCCTCGTCGACTAGGAATGCATCGACGCCAAGGCTCTGGTGCAAATGGCAGACCCCCGGCGCTATCCATACTCGCCGAGAAGTCGGAGACCTGGTCAACGCTTGCTGTCGGAGGAACGGCACCAGTCCATTCCGCGCGAATGAAGCTCTACAGATCGGTGTTGGGAATGCAGAGTCACGGACAGCGCGCGATTAAGGTAACCGACAACTACATCCCCGATCCGCGGACACACTGGGCTTAGATTGTTTCGTCGGGACGAAAAGATTCATATACTACTTATGTGTAGTGCGACATGGACCAAGCCAGATGCTACATATACTCGATGCACTGCTGCTCCTTGGAGATTCGGAGAGAGAAGATCTGGGGCGATGTCCAATGCTTCGGCAGCGCGCGAGACCAAAGCGCGCCGCGCAAACGTGCCGGACTACGCGAATGGACGGCCAAGGCAAAGACATGCGGACGCGACGGACAATTGCTTGCGCATGTTGGCGAAGGCAGCTGCGCAATGGTCGGCGGAACATGCCCAGCGCACGGCATGGCGCAATATGTATTGCCAACGACTTCGGCTTTTGGGAGTAGAGCCGCCGCCTGAGCATGCCCCGCGCCCTTCTATCGCGCTCAGATACGCATGTCCGCAGTGTCCATAGACACTGGCTACCAATGGGCACCTGGGCAATGCGCGTGACAAAGTGCCGTCCAGACCCCGCTCGCGCGCGCAATTATGTACCGGACGGACAGCGCAGAGCATTTGGCATCAACGACCATTCCAGACCTCAACAGCTCGCACGCCTGATTCGCACGCAGCGAAAGTGCGCTTTATTCATCAGATACCTCCATGACAGAATATCACATGAACGGGCGCAAGCATTTCATCAACTGGACAGGGAGCAAGCGGCTGCGCTACGAAGAACAGGTTATCACCAGGCGATCGCTCAGGAACCTGCCATCAGCACGCCGTTCCAATGCAACTGCGCGAAGGCGAATGGATAGACCAAGAGCTAGAGCCGCCTGAACCGCGACAGGTCAAACTAGACGGGAGCATTGTGCACATCGTTGGTATGAGCCCCAAGTCCCCTTCCACGCACGGCATGCAATTACCTCCGCATTCTTTCCGGGCCGGTAGGGGCCACATTCAACCGCTGTTCATCAAGCTGGACTCCAGCTTCCCTGTGGAAGCCACGTGTCTCGACCTTAGCCCCTGGCCCACACAATGAGAACTTTTTGCGTCCGGAGGCTAAAGCATTATTGGCAGAAGTGTGCACGCGCTGGATGGGTATCTGGAATGCGTGCTTGGCCGCTTCATGAAACTCAAAGTGGTGCGCGCTGGCATTGCGCGCGGCAGCGACAAGACGGCGACCTCGATCATGGCGCGACATCAGCGGATCGCGGGGATGCAAATGTATCAACGGAAAGGAATGGCTTCAGATACGAGTAGGAAAAGGGGCTCCTGCGCGTCGCCCTAGATCTTCCACTCGAAGCACTATGGCTACGTACGCCAGCCTCAGTGGAACACCCATCCATCCCAACCTGGCGGGCGAGATGCGCCTCAACACGGGAACTTGCGGAGACGAGCCGCGCTGTCATGCGCGGTGGTTAACGCGACCAGGCTCGACCAGTGGTTGATCGAATGTCGCCGCAGAATACCCGCGGCGCTACTGTGCGCAAATCGACCGGCTGCCTCTACCACATTGGCACGAGTGGAAAATCCGGGAACCCCAATCATCCAGCAGGACACCCCGCCGCTCGGGGCATCGACCGTTGAGGGGACTTCAGTTCGGCGCCGCTTACGGGGCACTCGCCCAAGTTATGCGACTTCGCGAACAGACTTTACAAATTTGCTTGGATTGCGCTACTGCAGCCTGGAGTGGCCCCAAACCATGCACGCAAACAGCTCGATCGATGCTGTGCCAAGCTACATGCATAACAAGATGTACAATCTGATCACGCAGGCCCAGCATGATATAGCCACGCAAACGATATGCCGCCGTTGGACACTCTCGACGTCAAGGAAGAGCCCCACACACCGACAGAGATCGCCAACGAAGAATCGCACTACCAAGTAGACCCATACACCATACACCAACGCAGGACTGCCCAACACCGGCATGCCGTGAGGCATGGGGCCTGCTACATCTTAGAGCGAGCAGTGACAGGCGCGAGGCATCCTCATCACCATTTTCCGCCTGCCCCGCCGTCCTACTACTGCATCAGTACTTGCGGCATTGCCAAGGGATGCCGCGCGACAGGTCTTCATTGTACTGCTGGCGCGTGCGAGTGCACCCGTTTGTTCCTTCCCATCATTGAGGCACCAGTGCTGCGAAGTCACCTACCGCTCAGTCCCTGCCGCCACGCGATGGCTGCGACGATGGATACTTCACGTCCGAAGTGGACACCGGCGCGAAGAGGGCGTCCGGGTGCGTGGAGGTGGACATCTAGGACGCCCGCGCCATGGCACCACCTTCTACTTCTCCTCTGGTCGACAACGGATGGGCCCAGGTGCTCGTCAAAGTTGACGCGCTGAAGTACGACGGCGACGAGAACGAAGAGCGCATATATTTCAAAGTGAATGACGCCGCTGCGCCGGTGAAACACTGGATCAGGAGGTGCCAGTTCGCGTTGCTGACGGTCTACAGAGCTATCGAGACTGCGCTGAGGGTGCGCGCGCCATCGACTGCCGCCCCCGAGCGACCTGTCGTCGCCTCGCCCGAACTCCGCGGCCCCCCCCTACCAGCGGTGCATCTACGTGACAGTGGCGGACTACCCGCGCCGCGTGAGTGCGAAGTTCTACGACGAGCCCAGTGTCAATATCCTCATCGCAACAGCGCCTCCGTCCGGGGCGCTGAACGCCGCCCTGGTCAAGGACAACTTGCAGGCCGAGCTCTTCGATTATGAGTGCGACTATTCGGCTGGGTACCTGGGCCTGACCTTCGCGTAGAATACCGCTTGCAGAGGGCGGCGGCACCCGCGATGGCCACCATCCGCCACGCCCCCCTACAACGCCAACGAGGCGCACGGGGCGCGCGATTACATCCGCGTTCGTGACGAGAACGGCGTGCACACCGAGGATCGCAAGTAGAAGGACGTCAAGAGCTACGACGCGGACATCCAGTTGTTGCGTTTCACTGGCGCGACCAGGGGGGAGCACCTCGCGGGCGATTCGCCGGAGCTGTAGGGCAAGGGCATCACGTCTGACAGCGCGAAGTACTACGACGGGGCATCCGCGCACTTCGAGAGCGAGGGTGACAACCGGGACGAGGAACACGAGGACGAGAAGGGCATCGAGGACAACGAAAGCGCCACTGACCAGAACAAGCGCTACAAGTAGCCCCAGCTGGGACGACCGAAAACGGAAAGGGCTTTCACTTCTTCTGCCCAGCTACCAGCTCTCCCCCCAGTCGTTCTTCTCTACAGAAGCATCAGGAGGTATTTAGCTTACTAGCTGGACGCGTACTCGAACGCCGCTGGACACATGCGAGCTCGCCTAGTACCTGCCGTATTCTGGTCCCCAACCGACTTGCCTGCGCACGCTGCTCCATCGCGCCTTCTACTGTACCGGTCTTTTACATCAGAGGATGTAAAAGTCTTTTGGGTCCTTCATGCTGATGTCGGGTCACATGCTGCCCGTGCGCATGCATCATGCGCGAGGCATGCATGACCCGAACTACAACGGGATCGGCGCCGCTCCCAGAGAGCAGCTGCTAGCAAAAGACAGAATCTGGCTACTCGATCTGCCGTGCCAGAACACATGGATACAGTTTGTGACAAAAGGCTACACATGGAGATGACGACGGACAGTGATTCAATATCGGCGACATCGTACCTTCTCAAAGGATCTTTACGACAGGCGTATCAACGTTTACAAGGCTAAATGCGTAGAAGGCACTTGAGAGGGTATCATCGACGACCAGCCGCAGCGACCACACGATGGGCAGGATGCGCCACAGCCCCTGCGATGCGGCTTCTGGCATGTTACCACAACTACTCTTGGTGGAGAGCCATCCATGCGACGCAGCAGCGCGGTATCACTGTTGCGTGCCATGGGGCCCTGAGCAGGATAATTAAGTCATGCTCGAGATTTGCACAGTGCCTCCTATCATCGGCGGGCTAAACAAGGCGATGGTTGCCAACCTATATGGCCAGCATTGCGACTTGGAAGCTAGTATACCCCATATGGAAGCCTACTGCGTGATCTACAACGACCGCGCCCAGGCTCACAAGGTCAAACGAACTGATCAGCCTACTCTTACAGGCTGCGGCACAAAGTACTTCGTGAACTTGCCAGACGATCAATATGACGCAGGACTGCAATAAGACCAACGGTCTCCCATCCCCAACCAGTACGTACAAACAAGCGCACCCCGCATGCGATCGAATACGGATACGCTCAGCGTGTGCGTCAGAGTACCCAGGAGGACGATCACCAGAAAGTGCTACGAAATAGCAGCGGGACCTATCGTCGGTATTCCGATACCAGTACACTACCATGATAGTGAATGCCTATGACGTAATACATTTACAGCGCAAAGGACAAGGTACGCGGTGTACAATCTCACGCGCAAGTTACGCCGTCGGCATCTGCTACCACGTCCCTTGAGCGGCCCGGCCGCTCCTCCCCCTCTCCTTCCGCCTCCTCCCCCCTCTCCTCCTCCTCCTCCGCTTCCCCCTCCCCCTCTCCCCTCCTCCTCCCCCCCCTCCTCCCCCCCCCCTGACTCCGTGGCCATTTTGGCTCGAGCCATTCTGGCTCAAGCCCCTTTGCGCTCTAGCAGCGTTGCAGGATCTGGTCGTCAAAGGGGCGCGCTCTCCTGCGAGCCAAGTCCACGCGCTCCAAGATATTCCCCGCAGTCAGTTCGTTGCCATGGCTCCCGCGCCCTCTCGTGCGCCGCGCTGGCATGGCGGCTGGCCGCGGCAAGGGGATGGCGGGTCGGGCCCAGGCGCATCTTCGACGTGGACATGCACAGCATGCGGGTGCAAGAAGAATAAGCAGAAGTGGCAGCAATGCAAGCGCTGCTGGACCTGGCGCAGTGCACCCTCTTTCGACCTTGTCACCCAACCGCGCGGCGCCTGGCGGGGTTGGCGTGAGGGAGGGCAGCCCGGGTCGCCGCCCCCTCCTGGGACTTGGTCTACTGATCTCCCCGTTCATCCAGGCCCACAGTTCCAGCTCCCAGGAGGCACCTCGCCCCGTCCAGGCTCAGCATCCGAGACCACTCGCCTGGGCGAGCCGGTGTCCACGTTGCAAGGCATGGGCGACGCGGGCAGAGCGGCCAAGCACCATTTGCGTTTGGAATCCAAGCTCGCGGAGCAGAAGGTTGAACCCCCATTGCAGCAGCGAGTGGGGGAAGCTGCCACGGAGATGCGCATCTTGGAGGGCAGGCTCAGTAAAGCAGCATCATACTACGAGCGGCTTCAATGCGATCTGGAAGCACAGCGCCAAGTGGTTCTGCCAACCCAGGAGCCCGCCACAAAGAGCTGGTCAAGGAGCTGCACCTGCAGGTGGGGGGCGTCGCCGCAGCTGAGGTCATACCTGCGGCCCAGGCCACCGTGGCGATTCCGATCGAAGATATCCTGCAGGGCAAGGGGCCCCCCATCAACGCAGACTCGTTGCCGGCACCTGAGGCAGAGTCTGGCCTGTCGCCCGAGGACAAGGCGGAAGCGGAGGCACGTCCCAGGTCCCTGCAGCAGGCGATCAGGCATAAGGCGCAGCAGTTGTTCGGGGCCGCCGCCGAGCAGGCCGCCAAGTTCCGCGAGGAGCAGCGGAAGCAGCGGGCGCGCCTGGCTAGCAAGCGGAGGCGAATGGCAGAAGCACCTCAGACTGGTGGAGGTGCAAATGGCGCTGACAGAGGAGCTGGAGCGGAGGCCGACGGCTCCGCAGGGCCCAAGGCCCCCGCGGAGCCTGCCGCTGCCAGCTCCGCTTCATCAGCCAAACCATCGACATCAGAAGAAGATGCGCGCGCGGGCACAGCGAGTTCTGCAGCTGAACCAGCCCCCCCCCCTTCAGCCGCGGCGTCAGCTTGAAGGGGGCATGCGCATCAGCCACAAGTTGACCTGCTTCATAACCCAGGACTTGCTCACCTGACTGCCCCGTTAGGTCCGTTTGCCAGCCCTCCTTTTGACGCCGCCAAGTCTAACTGTTAGTCTGTGGCCTGTCGGCCTTTCTTCCGTCGCCCCCTTCCTGGCGTGCGGGGTCGCGCGCCCAGTAAGTCGGTTCCGTGGCTTGGCTTGTTGTCGGCCGTGCGTCGCGGCCCGCGGGGGGCTGAGCGAATTTTGCGCGAAGGCCGACTGACCCATCCCCTGCCAGCTGACTCCCCTTGTAAGCTGGCCTGCGTTGGTGCTCGTTTTCAGTTTTACCTTGTCCTGGCGTATCCAGGCGCAGGCAGCCCCATAGAGTTGGCGGCTGGCTCCAAGATCTCCCCCCCTCCGCGTCCGACCCCCCCCTCCCCCTCCTGGCCAGGTCCAGGGGCCCGATGGGCTGAGCTTGGTGCAGCGTGTCATTCGCAGCATGAATGTGAATGCGTGGGGCTTTCTGAAGAAGTCGTTGCCTGACGCGCCGGCCAACGTCGCCTTGGTGCAGGAGCATAAACTGCTGAACGCTGAGAAAATATATTCAGCCTCACAGTGGTGCGCGCGAAATGGATGGAAGTCTCTCTGGTGTGCTGCGAGGGGGACCGAAGCCGACGCCTCGGGAGTTGCGGCTCTCGTCAGCGACTGGCTGGGACGATTTGCCCCTGTGGAAGGTTTCGTTGTGAGTCAGGGCCGCGCGATGGCTGCTGATGGGGGGTTCACTTTCCGAGTTGGAAGCGTCTGTCTCCACCGCAGTGAAGGTCGTTCGGGCCGTAACATGGATGTGTTGGCCTCCCTCGGTGCTAGGTGCCCTTCTTTTTCGGGCCCCTTCGTTCTCGTTGGGGATTTCAGCCTTCCCCTTCGGAACTCGCCTCTTCAAAGTTCGTCTCTGAGCTTCAGGGCCAACTCATTGATCCAGAAGGCTACACTTCCTTTTGGGGTGGCAGCCCGTCCAAGTTTGACTTCTTTGTTTGCAGCGGGGGGCTCGGCAGAGCCGTCGCCTCCTGCAGCGCGGTCATGGCCGCTGAGTCGAGCCCGCGCCGCGCTGCCGACCTCGCTTTTCATCTTGCCCCCGCCGCCCTCAAGGCGCTTAGTTTTTTGGGGGCCCCGCCTCTCCCCTCTGGCCCAGCTTTCGGCCCCAATCCCAAGCGGCAAGATTTGGATCAGGTTCTGGATATGGCCCAGAAAGGTTTGGTTGCGGCTGGGAGAGGGGGCGGCGTCAGGGCTGCGCAGCTTCTTACCCGAGGCTACGGGGCCTGTGCCAACGTCGCCGAGGTGGAGCTGACTCCGCTCCTCGGCGCCGACCTAGCCAGGACTGGGACCGGGAGTTTGGGGCCTCAGCTGATGTGGAGATAGGTAGTGGAGGGGCGGCCAGCCAAGGTATCCCGCCCACCGAGCCATCAAGTGGCTGGGGGCCCAGTTTCGGAGCTTGGTCTCCTTGCAGCGTGACAACCGAGGTGCGTCTGTGCAGGCGAAGGCCATCCATGCATCATTCCTTTGCTGGCCTGCTTCGATTGCTGGCCACGCGTCTGAGTTTGAGTTTTTTTTTGATATCAGGCGCTTCGCGCATCAGCGTGCCCCAGTCCAGTGGTCGGCCGAGGTGATTGCTCCTGGCGAGGTGCAGCTCTCGGCGCTCTCTGGCACTCTCGCGTCAGCGGGCGCCAAGTGCCCTTCCAAATCCAACTCGGACTGGCGCGCTTGGCCCACGGAAGGTCTGGACCAGGGGCCAAGAGGGTCGGCGCCATCACTGGGGGCCCCTCTCCCTGGAGGCCGACCGCGATGTTGGCGGTGGATGGCTCGGCGGTGGCCGACCCCCTGTCTCTGCGCGCCTACGAGGGTGACAAGTTCAGCAAGTTTTTGGGGGCAGGCTTCTGGCGAGGCCAAGCCCGTTTCTCTTGTTCAGGCGTTTCCCCGGGCTGCTCCTGACCAGCATCGAGCCGTGTCTAAGCGTTACAGGAAGTGTTCTGTTGTTACGTATGATGGTTTCGGTTGCAGGCACTATCACTTGTTGTGCGACGACGGTCTTATCACGCTGGGCATGCTGTTTGAAGTGATGGAGTCGGTTGGGGTGTTGCCGCGACAGATTTCGGCGGTGCTGCTTGCGCGCCGCAGCAAGGCCACTGGCGGCTTCAGGCCGATATGGGTTTTCTGCTCTTGGCACAGGATGTGGGGTCGCCTGCGGCGCCCTGGGTGCGGGGTCGCCTGCGGCGCCCCCATGCCCTGGACTGGGGGCGGCAACGCCCCCGTCGGTACTGGGCTGCTGGGGCCTTTTAGGGGAGCTCCAGACGTTGTCTGGCGCCAATCGGTGCGCGCGGAGACGGGCGCAGCTAGCAAGGAATGCAGTGCCAGTGTATTCTACGACATGCTGACATATTATGAGACGATCAGCCTGAATATTTTGGAAGATATATGCGGGCGCCATTGTTTTCCTCCCGTCTTCTCTCGTCTCTCGTTGTATGATTGCCGATGCGGCCGTTTCATTTCGTTTGCTGGCCTGCTTGATGGCCCCTTTTCGTGAGGAATGGTGTGGTCGCGGGGTGCCCTTTCGCGACTTCGTACATTCGGGTTTTCTCTATGGACACGTTCGATCGGCTCCCTCGTCATAGGTTGCTCGAGTTCGACGCGTATATCGACGACGCTGGAGTTTCGAGCACTCGCCGTCACCAGCATGTCGTCAGCAGCATCGTGTCGACGTCGCTCCTCTTGCATCATGTCATCACCACTGTCAGTTGTCTCTTGCGAAGGTATGCACGGTGGCGCCCAGCAAAAACATGCTGACGACATTTCCAGTGCCCTCGGCATTCTCGGGGGCCGCGTGCTGGACCCCACTGTGAATCTTGGAGTCGACTTTTGCGCGGGCCGTTCTGTCAGAGTCTCAGGCAGGAGCTCCAAGATGAACGCCAGGACGGCTAACTTGTGTCGGAAGGCTCGCTGCCTCAGTAAGCTGTCTGAGCACGTTGGCCGTTCCGCCCTCAAGATTCTCGCTGATGGGCCTCTCGCTGGAGGAGCCTACGGCGCGAACATCCTGGGAGTCAGCGATCAGAAGCTTCTGTTGATGAGACGCCAAGCTTTCTGTACGGTTAGACCCTTTGCCAAGAGCAGATCTCTCACTGCTGTCAGCATTCTCTCTGACGACCCGTGCTGGAGCGCTGCTTGCGCACCGATCCTAATATGGAGTAAAGAGATATGGATCACGCGCGCCAGAGTTTTCGACGGGTCTCTTTCGTTTGAAGATCTCCGCTCTGCTTGGCACAGTGTGTTTGGCCTCGAGAGGGTCACGTGGCCCACTGTGAAGGGGCCTCATTATGCGATGCGCCTCTCTCTGCTCCGCCTGGGTTGGAGGATGGCCCACTGCATGGCGATTGTTGACGACAGGGGCTACCAGCTCTCTTTAGGCTTAACCGCCCCCAAGCTCGTAGAAACGTTGTGTCGGGATGCCTACATGAGGAGTTTGGAACGGGACTTTGGGTGGTACATGGGATGTCGGGAGACGTATCTGTCTGCGCATCCCCAAAGCTGCCTGCCGTCCCAAGAAATTCACCCCTGCCCAGCGCGGTTGGATCCACGCCTGTTCTAGTTGTGCCACTTGGACAGCAGATCGCGCTTGAACCACTGGGTAAGCAGTCGACCCTCTGTGTCCGGAGCGCCAGGCTACCGACTCCATTGCCCGCAGGTTGTGGGAATGCCCCGATGACGAAATTGCCGAGTCAAGGGCCCAGCTGGTCGCCGCCTCTGCCGCTGCTGCTGCTACTCTTGCTGCTCTGGCCACTGAGGCCTCCAGCGAAGATATAGGCTTGTATACTAGAGGAGCGTTCGCTCACCCCGCCGACTGGCTGTCCAGGCCAGCTCTTGAAGGGGCCAACTCCCTGGCGTACGCTTGGCATCGCACTGGGCTCATGAGCACAGAGGGCCCCAGGGCCCCTGCCAATGGAGAGGTGCGGGGGGCACCTTTTCATCGATGGTTCTTGCCAGCGCCACCCCGTTCGTGAATGATCACGCGCGGCATGGGCTACCTCAATGAATTCGGATGATGGGGTGTGCCTTGGAGAGGTCAGGGGCCCTGTGTGGGCCCACTTCCTTCAGATTCCGCAGGCTGCGGACTTCTCGGCTCGTTGTGTGGTCTCTCAGTTCATGTTTTTCCCGGGTATCGTGTATTCAGACTGCCCGAATGTGGTCCACCAGGGTTGCCTCCCCCTGCCTGACAGATATTCAGGGAAGAGAGCTTATTCTGGATTGATTTCGCAAACCAGTGCTAATCAGGGCCAGGGTTTAGACGACATCGTGAAAGTTAAAGCACACCTCAGCCTCGAGGAGGAAGGCCTCTCAGCTCGTGATATGTTTCTTCGCAAGGGTAACTCGGACGCGACATTGGAGCTAAGCGCGGCCTTCAGCTTCACCCATCTGCCCCTGGCGATATGGAAGTAGTCACGAAGCTGGTCGATGCCGCCAGAGCATACTGTACTATCGCGGCCAATGTGCTTCCGCTCTGGCCCGAGTTATCCCGCGAGGTGCCATAGACCCCACCCGTGCGCTCTTCCTCTTCGCTGTGTCCCCCCTCCCGTGCCTCACAGGCGGGAGAGATGGAGTGGCATTTGGAGGTGCGCTGCTTGTCTGCAAAAGCGGAGGAAAGCAGAGACTTGCCCTCCGCCAGGCTCCTGTGCTAGTTTCTCCAAGCTCCATGCTGCGAGGCAGCAGGAGCTGGGCCACCGTACGGTGGCGTTCAATTGCTCAGATGGGTCAGTTATGTTTATCTGCCTGCGCTGCAAGTGCCACTCTTCAGGCGCCTCGGTCCGAGGCCTTGGAGAGCGGTGCCAGCCACCTTCCCGCGCTATCAAATATGGGTAACGAGCGCTCGTGAAGGGCATTCGTCCGCACTGCTCCGTCGATGTAGACCATTGTATGGCCTGTTTCGACACTTGTGTGTCTGAGGATGGGTTCGAGCCCTCCGTCCGTGGCGATGAACACGCTCTGGAGTGCGCCTCTCCCTCCGCTCCGTCTGCCACCGCCTCTGGTGCTGCTTCAGCACCTGCCGCCGCAGGCCATGTCCCCCCGCCCCCGTCCCACCTGGCGCCGGCCCCAGCGGCGCGTTCGCGCGTGGTCGGGCGCGGCGCGGCGACCGCGAGGGGATCACCGACGGCGCTGCGAAAGGGAGAGAAGCAGGAGGAGGAGGAGGAGGAGGAGGAGGAGGAGGTGGAGGAAGTGGAGGAGGAGGAGGCGGAGAGGCGGAGGAGGAAGAGGAGGAGGAGAAAGGAAAAGAACGTCCGTGGAAACACTCGTGCCAACAAGTTGCAGGTTCCAGGAGGAGAACAAGGAGACAGGAGGAGGAATAGGTGGAGGAGTAAAAGGAGGAGGAGGAGGAGGAGGAGGAGGAGGAGGAGGAGGAGGAGGAGGAGGAGGAGGAGGAGGCGGGCGTGCGCCAGGCTCACGCGTCAGGGGCAGCGCCAAAAGGGGGATTGGAACCGGGGCAACGTTGCGGTCAGGAACGTTGGCTTGGCGTGTCGTTCCGCCAGCGGTGGCCCGCCACTCGTCGGCGCGACACGCTATCCGTTTCCCCGTCCCCAAGCGTCGACGTCTCGGGCTGTGCCCAGCTTTTCGCCCCTTGGACCGGAGCGACACGGCATCCTAGATGGAGTCGGAGTAGATGGGGTCGGGGGATCGCGCCGCATCGCCGATACATCTTCGATGGGGGCCGATGTGGAGCACGATCTCCACGCCTGCGTCGCCGGTGCGCCGCCGACGTGCCCGATGCATCGTTGATGCGTGGTTGATTCGTCGGCGGCACGGCGCGATCTTCTGAACCCATTTAAGTCGGACCTCGTGTCGGAGGCATCTGGAATAGGGGTGCGTGGCTCTCTCGGTCGGTGCCATAATACTCTCCAGATTTCGTGTCCTCCCTCACTCTTTTTCCGAGCAATTTCTTGCCCCCCTTCGCCCGCACACTTTTTAATGCACGCGGGCGCAAGGTGGTCAAGGACAGTCAGACGCTGGACAGAAAGCGGTGGGGCGCACCGGAGTTCAATTGAGGCACGAAGGCGAACAAGGGAAAGAGCGCGAGAAGGATGCTCAGGAACCCGCTCGGACCATGAAAGCTGTCGCTGGGCTGCCGCAGAAGATCCAGCTTCATGTGGAAGGCCTTGAAGGGGGGCCTCGTCCGCACTCGCGCCCCGGGCCATGCGCCAACCCTCACTCTTCCTGGGCCGATTCCTCGGCGCGCCCGGTGGAGGGGATGGGCGAGGCCTCCGCATGCCTGCCTCCCCCCCGCCAGGGCCCGGAGGCGTGGGCTCTCCCGCCCCGTCTGGGCCGCCTTCGGCGGTGTCCGTCGGACGGGGCTGGCACGAGGACGAGTCCGTGCCGGGACGTGCCGAGGAGGAGGAGGAGGAGGAGGAGGAGGAGGAGGAGGAGGAGGAGGAGGAGGAGCGGGACGCTTGCAGAGCGTTCTGGAAGGCGGCGCCCGAGACATTTTCCAGAGCCGCGGACCTCAGAGATGTTCGATGCATCTCCGCCCGAGCTCGTCCTCGTCCTGGCGTCGTCCTCGTCGGAGCAGGGCAGGGTCAGGGGCTCTTTTGCCGCATCGCAGGGGCAGCGCCGGTGGGGCACGGTCCTGGGCCGAGTTCTCCTCGATCCCGACGTTTCCGACGCCTCCCTCCCCATCCCTCCCCCTCCCCCCCTCCTCCCTCCTCCTCCTCCTCCTCCTCCTCCTCCTCCTCCTCCTCCTCCTCCTCCTCCTCCTCCTCCTCCTCCTCCTCCTCCCTCCTCCTCCTCCTCCTCTCCTCCTCCTCCCTCCCCCCTCCTCCCCCCCTCCCTCCCTCCCTCCCTCCCTCCCCCTCCTCCCTCCCTCTCCCTCCCTCCCTCGATCCCGACGTTCTCCGACGCCTCCCCCGTGCATCGCCGTTGCGGCGCGGTCCCGCGGCCCCACCTCGGCGGCCTCCGCCCGTGCGCGGAGCTCTGCACCCCAAGGGCGGCGGAGAGAGACTCGGGCTCAGACGTTCGGGGGTCCGCGAGGTCTTCCTGGGTCTGCGCCCGACCCCCCCCCCCTGCAAGCCCCCCTGCCCCATCGAGGAGCAGGGAACCCAGACCCCCTCGGGTTAGGAAAAAATCACGACGGGAGGTTTTTCCTTATTTTTGGCCTTTGGGGGCCCTTCCCGGCCCTCGGGGCCGTCAAAAGACGACTCGGGACGAAGAACCGGTCCCGGGGAAAGGGTCCAGACCGCTGGGGGTCGACGTCATGAAAAATTCGTGACGTCGGGGGTCTGGGAACCCATGACCTCACTCACGCAGTGAGGGCGTGGCCTCACCTGGGTCCCCGTCTGTGCATCAGGGGCACTCCATCTGGGAGGTTCAGTTCGATACGGCTGCAGAAAAGACCCCCTTCTCCCCAATGTTCCAGGCCCTCCTAGCCGATTTCCCCTCCCAAAGGGTTTGGGGTATTTTTGGGGCTGAGAACTGGCGGCTCCCCTCGGCGCAGCAGCCCCGGGCGCGCTCCGCGCGCCTGGAGGGGTGTTCGAGGAGGGGGGTCCAGCGCCGACATGAGAGATCCGCGCAGACCTGCGACAGTTTTTCTTCTGCTGTTGCCGGGCAAGGCGCCAGGAGCAGTGGTGAGAAATCCTCTGGTGACAATGGCCCTGACTCGTGCCTGCCGCGTTGCAGGCGCGATGGTGGATCACGCGAAGACCGACGAGAACGACGGTGCCAACGAGGCACAGGAGCGGCCTTTCAACGTCTCCGAGGCCCTCGCTCTCATGGGCACGGTTGGGCGGGGTTTCACCATGTCGGACGCCGTCTCGGACGTCCAAGCCGACCCGCGCGAGGGTGAGTTCATGCAGGTGATCAATCTCGAAGAAGAGAAAATTGCATAAACATCAACTTTCGGCGGTCCGCGCTGATTTCTTTGATGTGCGCTGGGGTCCCACAGCTGCGCCTCCTTTGCCGCCCCTGGCGTTCGGAGCGCGCCAGGGAGGGGGGTCCAGCGCAGATCCAAGAAATCCGCGCGGAACGCCAAAAGTTTATGTTTATGTCGTGTTTTCTCTTCCCCTACAATCAGAAAACTCTCGACGCATGGGTCAACATACGGGAGGCGGTGGACGGCTGGAAGGCCTCGGCCGAAGGCAGGGAGCTCTGGGAGGAGCTGTCCAACGGAGGCGCCAGCGAGCAGGTGGCCAAGGCATCGTCGGCGAGAATGGCGTGGGGCGTCGGGTGCGGCACGCTGGTGGACTGCCTCGAGACCTTTGGCCGCGTCCAGACCCTGAGCAAGCTTCACCACGGAGAGCTGGGCTGCACATCTTCTGCCCTGGGCGAACGCATGAGGGCCCACTCCGTCGCCATGGGGCAGGCCGGCGGGGAGGGCATCGAGGAGAACTCGGGGCTCGAGAACTCGGCCACCACGCACATGGTGAAGAACTTGCTGCGCGCCATTGCTTACGTTTCGGATGACGCCCTCGCGCCCTGGGACGGGCAGTCCTTTGCAGGGAAGCCCGCCACGGGCGACTTCGCCTATGCCAACGATCCTATGCTCGGCGCCGCGACCGAGGACAACGACCCTTTCGACCTCATGGTGCATCTCGACGGCGAGAACACGCGTCCCGAGTCGATCCTGGCCTTCTCGGCCTCTGTTCCCCAGATCATATCCTCCTCCCTTCTCCCATTCACCGTCGGCTCGATTGCAGATCTGCAAGAGCGCGTGAGCGGCAAGGGCAAGGGCAAAGGCGTGGACCCGAGCTTCCGCGCGCACGTGCGCAGTGTCGAGGATCTTGCGATCAACCAGGACTCCATGACCACCGACATGGCCTTTGGCATGATGTCCTTCTTCATGAAGATGATGCTAAAGGCAAAGGGCAGCGAGGACGCCACTCTCTCCATCACGCGCAAGGACGCCGCAGCCCGCGCCGAGGAGTTCGAGCGCCTGGTTAGCGACGAGTCCACCTGGTTCAAGAAGGGCAAGGCGCGGAAGGCCGCCTTCTACAAGGCGATCTCCGAGGGCCGGCTACCTGACGGATTCCTGTCCTTCTCCTACCTGTCGCCCGCCACCGGCCGTAACATCACCCGCTATTTCGACACCATGCTGAGCGCGGAGAACTTCGGCAGCCCCATCGCGTTCGGCAACATGCTGGATACCGAGGTGGGGGAGTTCTTCCATCACGTCCCGTCAGGCCTCGAGCGCTTCGGCAAGCACCTCGTGAACGTCGGCGACCAGATCCTGAACGCCAGCAGGATCGGCGTCGACTGGCTCACACAGGTGGCGGGGCCCAAGGGCCAGATCGCAGACGAGCAGACGCGCTGCTGCTGTAAGGGCCCCAGCCCCGACATGTGCGAGCTTCTCGCTGGGGACGAGCTGAAGAAGAGCTGGAATCCCGCCAAGTGGGGCGAGGCCGTCTGTCCTTCGGATCTGGGCTATCAGCATTACAAGCGCTTCAATGCGAACCCACGCCTTCCCATGACTCTTCCTCCCAAGTGCCAGGCGACGCGCCCGTGAGCGCTCCTGTCCAGTGCCAGGCCGTGCGCTGAAGAACAGGAGCTCTGCTTGGCCGCCGCGACCTCGCGCGCAATCAGCACAGGGAGGGCTTTCCGCAGCAGTGCTCCTAAGGGGGCTGAGGAAAAGCAGAACCGTCGCTATCGGAGTCGGCGTCCGAGTCGTCATCCTCGCTGAGGGCCTCCGGGTACTCAGCGCGAGCGCAGCACATCGGAACCGGTGCCCCATCCGTCGGAGCGAGCCAGCGCCTCGCAGTGCTGGCCTGGCAGGAGGCGGACTTTGGCACGTCGCGTCTCCTGCGGGAGCGTGAAGGGGGCGACGTCTGCCTGCCTGCGGGGCCCCAGCTCGGCGGCGCGCCCAGGGGGGGCAAGGCCAAGGCGGTGGGCCTGCCTGGGAGGGCTCGGAGGGGCATCGGCCTCCCGTGGCCGGGGCGCCCTCGAGGGCGCGAAGGGATTCGCGCCTTGCGCTCCGCGGTTCGGCTCCGATGTCTCCTTACCCTCCTCTTCTACCCTGGGGAGCGGCGCGAGGGCCCGAAGTCATTCGCGCGCTTCGCGGAGCGCGAAGTTGGGCGCCCTAGAATCGCAGTTCTCATCGCGGAATCCCATTTCAGCCACGCGCCCAGAAAGAGCCCGAAGTTATTCGTGCTTCGCGCAGCGAAAAGTGCCAAGTGAGGCGCCCTTGAATAGCAGCTCTCACCGCGGAAGCCCATGTCAGCCACGCACCCTGGAACAATGTAAGACCATTCGGCGCCTCTCACTCTGACCATCATCGTCTGTCTGCCCGCACTCCTCATCCTTTTCGTTTCCCCTCCATGAGTTCTCAAGCCGTTTTGGCTCCGAGCAGGTCCAGCCAAATTCCTGCTTCATCCGGAGGGCCTGTCCGGGTCTGATTTTTGTGGACAGCTGCTAGCTCGTGCTCAGACCGCGGCGCCAATGGCACCAAGGGCCAACAGTGTAAAAAAGCCGCCCGCGGCGCCAGGCAAGGCCAGCAAGAGTGGGGAGAAGGCGAAGACGGCGAACGATGAGGTGCCAAGGCCACCCGACACCCTGCCCTGCATGATTCTCAGATTCTTTCTCGACCTCACCGTGGGATCCATCAAGCTGATCCTGGTGGGCGGCTCTTGCCTCTGGGCCTACCGCGTCAGGAAGACGGGGATCCCCCTCTATGGATACATGATTCACGGCTTCGACCCGACCTTCAACTTCACCGCGGCGCGCTACCTGGCCAGAAAGGGCTGGTACGAATTCTTCAGGAGGGCCCGCCTCCCTCCTCACCTCGGTGGACGGAACATCGGAACGAGGGTTTCCAGCTCATGGGAACCCTCGGATGCCTAGAGGTTGGCATCGACACTAACATCTGCGTTCGTCTTTACCAAAGGAAGACGATCCCGGTTTCGGCAATGGTGGTAGTATTCGGGCTTCCTAGTTGGCCGAAGGATTACCACCAGAACCAGAATCTTGGATCGTCTCCTCCTAATGGAGGCAGCCCCCTGTGTTGGTGTCGGTGCTCTTTTACAAGCATCCAGGAATCAGTTATAGGTCGCACCTGTTTTGGCTGCTTCGCTCAAGGGGAGCTCTTCAAACGCATGACAGGGGAATGGGACATGGGGTGCCTTCCGTCGTCGTTTTTGCTTCCCTCGTCGTCGTCGATCATGTGACAAGCGCGGCAGTACCCTGACGGCCCGCCTGCCCGACCCGCCCGTCTGGGGCCGCCCGTTCCGTTTTCGTCCTTTCAGCCAAGCGGGCCCTCCATGGCTTGCCCGGCCTGTCCCACCCGTTAGGATTCTTGCCCGCCCCTCCGGCCCGATAGGGGCTCCGACGGGTCGTCTGCTCGGCAGCCCGCCTGCCTGCTGCAAAGTCCCGCTCGGCCCGCTTGCAGGTCCCGCCCCGACCCGCTCCACGGGGTCCGCCCGGCCCGCGCGCTCGTCAGGGTCCGCCCGACCCCCGCCCGTCCCACCCGTCAGTGTCCGCCTCGGTTGTTTGGCACTCCGCCCGCCCCGCCCCGCCCGCCGCCCGACCCGCTCGCGAAGTCCCGCACGGCCCGCCCGTGTGGTTCCGCCTCCCCGACCCGCCTGGCCCGCACCTGCCTGGCAGTGCGCCCGCACCGTCGTCGATGGCCGGGAAGGGGAAGGTCTCGGACGAGGCGGAGGGAGGAATGAAAACCGACGAGGGCCTGGGGATGTCGAGGGCTGGGGGGGGAGTCTAGGCCTCCCAGATGGGGTCCTAGTAGATGGGGTCGGTGGATCTCGCCGCATCGCCGATGCATCGGCGCTGCGGCTCGATGTGGAGTCCGTGATTACCCACGCCGACGTCTGCGATGCATCGCAGACGCATCGCCGATACATCGGCGATGCATTGGTGATGCGGCGCGATCCTTCGACCCCATCCACTCCGACCCCATCTAGGAGGCCTCTAGGAGGGGTCGGGATTTTTCGCCCATGGCGTTGCCCAGGGGGAGCGGTTGAAACGCATGATCGGTCTCGTAGTATGGGGAATGGGGGTTTTCGTCGTCAGCCTTTCCCCTCGTCGTCGTCACGTTTGTCGTCGTCGTAGTCGCCGTCGTCCACTGCCAACCCGCCTGCCCGAACCGCCCGTTTGGGTCCGCCCGCTCGTTCGCTTGACAGCCCGGCCGCCCGTTTTATGTTCCGTCCTCCGTGGCGGGGTCGCCCCACCCGCCTGCCCGACCCGCCCGTCTGGGTCCGCCCGGTCGTCTTTGTTCGGCAGCCCGCCCGCCCGACCCGCAGCACACGCCTGTTAGGGCGCGCCAGGTCCACCCAGGAAGGTCCGCCCTCGCAGCTGGCCCGTTATTGTCTGCCCGTTCCGCCCGCCAGACCCTCCATCTAGGGTCAGGGCTCGAGCTGCACGGTGTTTTGGCGATTTCGCGGATCGTTTTCGATGTGATCTCGTTTTGTAGCAAAGGCAGGACGCAGACGGAACGATGAAAGCCGAAAACACTGTTAAGCTCGAGCGCTGTTCACCGGCGTCACCCCAAGACACTAATAGTATGTGTGCGTCGCCCCGCCAGGGGCGACGCGCGCACCGAGAAATCTCATTCTGCATGCGTCGTGGCGGGCGCTTCCTGGCCACACCGCTCGGGAAACGATCTACTACAAGATGGGTAATTATAGTATACGTTCGGGTCGGACGCACGCCTCCGCGGAGGACACACAGTACCAGTATGTCCCTGTGCGTCTCGGTCCAGGATCCTGCCGACCCGGCCGCGCGACCCGCCCGCTCTGGTCTGCCGCGTCCGCCCGTTGGGGTCCGCCCGCGCAGCCCGCCTCGTGATGCTCCGCCCGCTCCGCCCGCTCGACCTGCCCGCCGGGGTCTGTCCGCTCGTTTGTTCGTTAGCAACTCATAGGGAGCTTGGGGTACACCTCAGGCGATGCTTAAGAAAACTTAAGTTTTCGGCCAGAGTCTCGATTATTCTTAACTTTTCAATGTAACTCCCAAGATTTTGATAGAAGTTCTGGGTTTTGTTCAAGTCCTGAGACCATGAATTTCTTAACCCATGATTTCTTAAGCATTTCGCAGGGTGTAGGGAGCTTGGGGTACACCCTCCTGATTCAGATTTCAGCGTCGATTAGCGTTTGGGAGTCGATGCGATAGCGCCGATGCAGCGTCGACGAGCGTCGATTGGCGTCGACTTGGCGCCGATTTGGCGTCGAGCAGCGTCGAGTCGCAAGAGCCGACAAGATGGTATGGGAGGCTCCCACGAGTTGCCACCGAACTTGACAAATCGCCTGGGCCGCCCGTTTCGGCTTGCCTGGTTGCTTGCTTGGCAGTCCGCCCAGCCGAAGCAGGAGCATGTTTGAGCCAGGGGGGTTCCCAGAGGGAGCGGTTGAAAGGTGTGGTCCTTCGAAGAAGCGGAGAAGAAGAACGACGAGAAGGAGGAGGGGGAGGAGGACGGCCAGGAGGCGACAAGGAGGGGCCCGAGAGAGAGAGAGAGAGAGAGAAAAAGAGGAGAGAGCGAGAGACGATGGCGAGACACAGCAGGAGACGCGCGCAATGTAGCCCCTCACCAGACATGTCCTGATGTCCAGGTCCAGGTGCTTCTGGCGATTCCGCCACCGTGCCAGCGCAGCAATCTGGGTGGCAACTGTACTCGAGGAGGCGAGGGGGCCCGCTGGGGGCCTCTTGGGGTCTTGGTTCGCGTTCCCACTCTTGGGCAAATTTTTGGGGCCGTCTTGGGGCCCTCTTGGGCAGTCTTCGGCGCCTCTTGGGCCGTCTTGGAGCCCCCTTGGGCCGTATTGGAGCTATCTTTGGGGCCTCTTGAGCCGTCTCGGGGGGGGCGTCTTGGGGGCCTCTTGGGCCGTCTTGGGCCTGCGGAAGCTGGAAGTGGCGAGAGCCCCCAACACATGGCAAAGGCAACATTACATCAGTGTGTTGTTGCCTAAGGGCTCTCTTCGGGGCCTCCTTTGGCTCTCTTGGGGCCTCCTGAGCCTTCTTGGGGCGGAAGGCTCGAATTGTCTGTTCGTGTTCCCACTCATGGGCCCTTCTTGGGGCCGCCTTGGGGCCGCCTTGGGGCCCCTTTGGCATTCTTGGGCGCTTCTTAGGCCGTCTTGGAGCCATCTTGGACCGCCTTGTGGCCCTCTTGGGGGGGCCTCTGGGACCGTCTTGTGGCCGTCTTGGTGGCCTCTTGGGCCGTCATGGGACGTCGGAAGCTCGAAAAGGCAGCAGCCCGAAACACATTGAGACACCCACGGCTAATCAATGCTGTATGCCTCTCGAGGTCCTCTCGTGAAGGGGAGCTCTCTTGGGACGCCTCGAAGGCCTTCTGGGCCGTCTTGAAGCCATCTTGGGCCGTCTTGAGGCCGTTGTCTTGGAGCGAGTCTGGGCTGGCTTGCAGGCATCCGGGCCTCGCGAGCGCGAGTCTGTTGCATGCTGCAAGGGGCCGTGGCATCGGGGAGAGGGGCGGTGCGTGCGGCTGGGCGTGGCCCCAGGGGGGGTGGCTTAAGAAAGGAAGCGAACTCTATCATGACAGCACCTGGCATTCCAGCACGGTCCAACGTGCCAGGGAGGCACGGTGGCGGATGATTTGGCAAGGACCGAATTTGCAACCGTTTCTGTACGGCTGGTTCCCACTTTGCCGTGTCGATGGTTGCTGTCTGGACGTTTCGATGTTTTGGGGCCGCGGGTATCAACTAGAATGTTCGATGCTTCGACTTATTGATTTTTTAACGCGGGGAAAACATCACTTTACCTGTTTCGGTTCGATTGCCCTTACACTGCGAATTTTTACGGAGTGCCCACACAGCGGTTTTGGAGTGCACGGAAGGTATCCTGAATGTGAAGTTGGAACCGCAGGCCCCTTTCCACCATGACATTGTGCAGCCGCGGCTGGATCCAGCCTGCCCCGCTGCTTAAGGCAGAGAGCGCAGAGCCCTCCCTGGGCTCTGAGCGAGACTTTGTACAGCCACGAGTGGATCTTCCGCCCGGGGCATTTCACTTCATGCTTCTTCGGAGGACGCGTGATTGTGGGAGCGATAAATGCGGGGGGTGGGGGTGGGGGCAGCGAGGGCTGTAGCAAAGGGCCCATTGAGGGCCCCTGAAGGGGCCCTTTGGGGCCCAAGAGAAGGCCTCTAGGGCCCGAAAAGGGCCCCTCTCTTCCCCCCCCGTTCATCGCCCCCCCATGACTTCGCGCCCAGGGCTTCTCCAGACACCCCCGACGATCTAGTGCTCCAGCTCGGCTTGCCTCGGGGCCATCTTATCCAGTGGGGGTGCCCTAGGTTTCTTGGGTTTCGAGGGTTTTGTTGTGGACAGCGAGACGTTCCAACACCAAAACTCAATGGACGGCCTGGGGTCTCAGGGTTAGGTTCCTCTTGTCGACGGTTTCTTGTGGACTGGCCTCCACTATCCTTGCTCGTGAGACCACCCGTGGAGGCGGGGCCGACTCAGTGAGGCGGCCCTCGGCCTTCCTCTCGGGCCCCCTTGGCCTCGGCTCCCTGGTGTGTGCTCCTCGGGCTCCCTGCGCTTGGCTCCTCGCTGCCTTCTTCCCGTGGCCCCCTGGTCTTGGGCATCTGCCTTCCCGGCACGTCCTCGGGCGTGGTTGTAAGTGCTGCCTTCTCCTCGGGTTCCTTGTCCTTGGTTCCTTGCTGCCTGCCTCGGGTTCCTTGGTCTCGGTTCCTTTCCAACCAGTGTTGCCTTCGCCGGCTTCCTTGATCGTGGATCCTTGCTGCCTGCCTCGGGTTCCTTGGTCTCGGTTCCTTTCCAACCAATGTTGCCTTCGCCAGCTTCGATGATCGTGGATCCTTGCTGCCTCCCTCGGGTTCCTTGGTCCCGGTTTCTTTCCAATCAGTGTTGCCTTCCCTGGGCTCGATGGTCGTGGATCCTTGCTGCCTTCCTCGGGTTCCTTGGTCCTGCTTCCTTTCCAATTCACGGCAAGAAGAGCAAGGCAACGTCAAGCAACGCCACGCAATGCCAATGCATGCAACTTGATACCAGTCAGTCCGTAGCCATTTTGGCTCAAGTTTTCAGTGGCTCCTTGGGAGTACTTTCGCGCAGGGATAGGAAGCCTTCTCTGCTGCAAGGGTCTCTCGATTAGCGGTGCTGGCCCAGCCGACTTCTCGCCACTGCCATGCACCCGATGCTTCGCCTGCTGGCCGCCGCGGCCGCCGCGGGCGCCGCGGGCGCGCCCATCTTCGGCGGCAAGCGCGCGAGGGAGGCCGCCGCTGGTTGGCTGGGGGTGTGGCGCGCGGCCTACCAGAAGAACGACGGCTCCGTCCCTGAGCTGAAGGACTCGGACGTGCCCGCGGCGCTGAAGGGGACGGACTCCATGATCGTCATCTCCAGCGGGGGCGCTGCTGGGGGCGTCGTGACGGAGGGGATGGGCTACGCCATCATGGTCGAGGGCATACACGCTTTGGGGGGCAGCAAGGAAGCGCTAAACACGGGCCTCGCCCTCACCAAGGGCTGGCTCGGCATGGTGTATGGTCCCCCAGAGACTTCCATGGGCAAGGCGGAAGCCCCGCTCGGGGGCGGCAGCGGTGAGAAGGGATCCGCCACCGATGTCGGCGTGCCGCCGTATGGTGTATCGGCGATCAAGGGCAAGGACGGCGGTTACTCGGGGATGGCAGCCTGGAAGTTCCCCGTAAACCAGTGTGCTCCGTTCTGCCACGGCACCGCCACGGACGGCGACGAGGACGCGCTTCTGGGCATGATCTACCTCGCAGAGGCGCTCAGTGCGCCAGCCGACTTCGTGGACATGGTCATGCGTGCCGCCATCACCTTTGCGTCTACCGACCTCGGCTTCCCCGACATCTACCGCAGCCTGCCCGACGGGTCGCGCATGTATGTCCCCAAGGGCGGTTCTGATTGGGGCGGCTTGACACCGGAGTCTGGGAAGTATGGCGCGTCCCAGCAGCCCTGGTGCTACAATCCTTCGTACTTCGCTCCAGGCCATTACCGTGTGTTCCGCGACTTCGTCCAGAAGTATTGGGACTCCAGCTTCGACAGCTATCTGCCGTCATACCTCGACGGCGCGCCCACTACTATGAAGGATTTGGTGGCCTCATTCGACGGAGCGATCACGGCAGGGTACAACATCCTCTACCACTCCTCTTGTTCCTCAGGCGCCGTCTCCAATTGGGTTGGCGTCAAGGCGGAATGCACGGGTAAGAGTCTCAATTGCGAAGGGATTCCTTGGGCCACGACGCCTTACGTCGGCGCGAAAGGCACGTGTACCGCGTCTGGGACGACCTTCGGCTCCTACGGCCCTGACGCCAGCCGCACCCCCTGGAGGATCGCCATGGATTACATTTTGTACGAGGAGGAGTCCACCAAGGTGCTGATGTACGATAGGCATGGTATCCTGGATCCCTCGCTTGAGTTCAACGCCCAGGTGTACCTCAATCGGTTCGCTAACCAGTACATGCTCTACGCGACGTGCGACGGAGGTGCTGCGGGTGCCTGCATGCAGCAGGGCCAGGTTGCGACCTTCGAACTGGCCTCGGCCTTCTCCATGAACGCCCCTGGGCTCACCTGCAAGAACGTCCCCAACGCCGGGCAGGATTGGTGGGCCGGCTTCATGTCCTACCCGACGTTCACGGTCTTCGTCGCCCCACACAAGAACCTGACGGCCAGGCAGAGCGCGCAGTGGCAGGAGACCCTCGCGGGCATCTGCGACTTCTCTGGCAAGGCGCCGAAGGGCGGCCTGTGCAGCGAGTCGTACTTCGAGCTGGGGCAGGAAGTGATCTCCACGATGATCATGTCGGGCCACGTCGAGCCGCTGTACTCCGCGGGTGGTGGACCCCCTCCGCCCACCGCATCCACCACGGAGTTCGTTCCCGACTCCACGACGGCGAGCATTGAGGCGCCCGTCGCCGTCACCTCGGCCCGTCGCCCGCCCGCAACGACGGCGACCACCTCGGCGCCGGGCGCCGCAGAGGGCAGCTCCTTGCAGTCGCCCTTTGACTGCAAAATCGGCCTCTCGCACTGGCGGGAGGCCTGGTCATCCGAAAAGCGAGCTTGGTGTTGCGAGCACACCGAGCGCGGATGCAGTCTCAGCGGCGAGGATGACGGGCAGCGGCCCGATGCCCCAACCGCTACAGCGGGCCCGGCGGAGGGCGCCTCGACCGCTTCGCCCAAGCCGACGAACGGGACTTTCAACGGCTTCGCACACCTCTTCGACCACTTCGACAGGAAGCCGACCACTCCTCCTCCCCCGGCGAATGCCCAAGATGATGCCGCCCCCAGCAGCGAAGGGGGCGTCTGCTGCCTCGTCGGCTCCGACGACGACTGCGCGACCTGCAGCATGCTGGCAGAGGCCCTGCCGAGCAGCCGCTGCAGCAAGTCCGAGGCCGCGTGTGCGGCCTGCGGCCCCCGGGCGGCCTGGTGCGGCGCGGCCCCTGGCACCCTGCCCTTCGAGGCCAGGCCGGCCACCACGCCGACCACTGCGGCCACGACGGCCGCGGCGGCGGCCACGACCTCTCCCCGGCCTCCCCCGCCGACCGCCACCACCACGACAGCTGCAACAGCGCCTGTCAGTGCCGCAAAGACGCCGGCGCCCTCCGCCGCTCCGCCGGCGACGACGTCCGCGGCCCCGCCCCCAGCGCCCGCGCAGGCCGCCTCGAAGCATCGGCCGACGCCGGCGCCGGCACACGGCGAGGGGGCAGCTGCGGGCAGCTCCCGCGGCGTGTGTTGCCTCGTCGGTGCCGAGGACGGCTGCGGCGGCTGCCGCATGCTTGCGGAGGCCCTGCCGAGCAGTCACTGCAGCAGGTCGGAGGCCGAGTGCGTGACCTGCGGCCCGCGAGCCGAGTGGTGTGCTGCGGGCGCGGGCGGCGGCGGCAGCGGCAGCCCAGCAGCCCCGTCAGGGAAGCACCCAGCGGAGGCTGCTGCGGCAAAGGTGAGCTCGCCAGCGGCCGTCCCTTCGGACAAGCCGCCCTCGGCCGCGGGCAAGGCTACGAAAGAAACGGCCGCGAAGGCCCTCGCCGCCCACGGGGGCAAGGCGGGCAAGGCTCTGAAGGAGGAGGCCGCCGCCGCCCACAGGGCCGAGGCCGGCGGGGGCGGGGCCGAGGCGGCCGCCGCGGGCGAGGCGGAGGCGGCGGGCCGCTGCTGCCTTGCGAGCGAGGACGCCGCGGACCCCTGCGGCTCCTGCTTCGGCTCGGCGTGGTCGGACGCCGGCGGCGCCTGCGGCTCTGCCGACGCGTGCGCGAGTTGCGGGCCGCAGGCGGCCTGGTGCCCCGGGGGCGCGACGCAGGCGACGGCCGCCGCCGACCAGGACGACGAGCCCTTCGACCCCTTCGGAGCACTGCTGACGCCCAGAGGGGCCCCGCAGGCCGCAGCCCTCCAGGACCGCGACGGGCTCGACGCCGCCTCCGTCGCCCGCAAGTTCGGCGCCGCCGCCGGCCCCGCCGGCGACGCCGCCGCCCCGCCGCGAGGCGCGGCGGCGCCCGCCGCCGCGGCGGCCACGGCGCTCCTCCTGGCGCTCGTGGCCGTGCCCGCGGCCGCCTTCCGCCGGCGGCCGCGCGCGCGCGCCGCGAGCGCGCGCGCCGCGCCCGAGGGCGCCGAGGGCTCCGAGGCCGAGGCCATGGCGCGGAGCCCGTAGGCTCCGGGGGCGCCCGGGGGCGCCAGAGGGCCGAGGCGGCCGCCCGCGGGGGGCCCTGCAGCGGGGAGCGGCCCCGGCGCCGTGGCGCCGACGCTCGCTGCGTCTGGGCTGCCCGCTTTCCCCGGCGCTGCTCGGGTGGCCGAGGCGGCGGTCGCTGCGGCCTCGGCGGCCTGCCGGCCCGGCAGGCGGCACCTGGAAATCCACATAATAGAGGCTTGCACGCGGGTCGTTGAAAGTAGGTATTCTACGATTCTCAGATCCCAATCTACTTCAAGCGCCTTCCCACTTCAAGAATCGACCAGCTTTTGCTGTGTGTTGTTTTTCTCTGGGGGGGGCCTGGGCCCAATCAACTTAATCCGCCTTCCGACTTCATGTTTTTTACCTACTTCTTCCGACCGACGTGTAGCCATGCAACGCGGCCATCTGCTGCGCGTTATCGGTCAGCCACGCGAAGCGCGCCGCCGATTCGTGTACGGGTCTTGCGGATGTCCTTATGCATTTTAATATACATACATATATATATATATATATACCTGTGCATACATATACATATACATACACATATATATATACACACATATACACACCGATTGCATGCAGCCTGAATGCATATGAGTGGAATTCATGAACGCTTTTACGATGCGGAGGGCACGGGGCACAACGCCCACGTGCCAAGCTGTGCCTAGGGACATTGACGCGCCTCGCCGCGTAGCGAATTCGGTGCATCTGCATGTGGCCTCGTTCAGGGAAGTCGCCTGGCTTTCATTATGTGAGGAAGTGCATGACGGGAATCTCTTTGATGCAGGTTTGTCGCGATCTGGCTGGCAACCCTCGATTGGAAAAGACACGTGGACGCACACATGGAGACAGCTACGGATACCAAAAAACGATACCAGTCATTGCCAAGCAACCCCAAACAATGCCAAGCAACGCCGACAATTGCTTGCATTGATCTAAGTTGCGTTGAACTGCTTCGCAAAAAATAAGAAGCTTCGATGCGTGGTCGCGTGGTGGTCCACTTTTCGGGGGTGCCTTCCCCGATCTGCGGGCCCAGCGCTCACGCGCCCGATCCACGGATTGGTGGGGTCGCGCCGGGCTCCTTTTTTCGTGCGCGGCACCAGGGGTCCCGACCCCTTGCCTGGTGGTCGTGTTTCGTCTATTGTCCCTGGGGCCCGATGACGGGCCCCAGAGGCCCAAACAGAGGAAAGACGCTGCATTCATACGGAAGCATCGGCGGAGATTTGGGCCGCTCCTCCTGCCACCAAGAGCCCCTCCCCTGGCCCCTGCAGAGGTTCGAACTGACCAGAGGTTCGAGGCGCTCCAGCAGGGGCGACGAGAAACTTCCCGGGGGCACAAGAAGGGTGAACAACGTGAAGAATATGTTGTTTGATTCTCGAGCCTCTATAATGCCAAACCTCCTAGATGAGGCCAGAGCAGATGGGGTCGGAGGATCGCGCCGCGTCGCAGCGACGCGGCTCGGTGTGGAGCCAGATTTTTCCAAAGCCGACACCGCCGATGCGTCGCCGACGTTGCGGATGCATCGGCGACGCGGCGCTACCTGCCGTCCCCATCTACGCGGACCCAATTTTCGGCGGCGAGCGAGGGAGGGAGAGTGAGACGGAGAAGGCCTTCTCAGAAGGCGGCGGGACTCCTCACCAGCCCCAGCGCTTTCTGAGAGGTGTTCTGTGAGGTTATCCGTGTCTTCGGGGAAGGCCTGGCAGGGCTCAGGACACTTCTCAGGATGTTGGGGGGCTTCCGAGCCTTCTGAGAAAGCCCGCCCCTTGGCACTTCCCCCCTGGGCTCGCCGCCAACATTTGGGAGGCCTACATCGGATCGACCCTCTCCCGCCAGGCCTCGGAAAGAATAGCGAACACGCATGTCACATTCATCGGTCAACGCCTCCCCCTCCCCCCAAAGTTCAAAGTTGGCGGTGGGTCTTACGAGTTGCCTTTCGACCGCAGTCTCCCCCGCGCGTGCCAGCTTTGGGTTTGGGGGAGCAGGGGCGTGTCCCCAGATTGTTCCCCCCGACCGTCCCATCCCACCTCTCTGCGCGCACCCGTCAGGTGGTACGACCACATGAGCTGGTACCCCCTCGGACGACCAGTGGGCACGACGATCTACCCGGGCATGCAGGTCTTCTCGGTCTGGCTCCATCAGGCGGTCCAGGCCCAGCGGGGAGGGAGAGGCCAGGAGGAGGAGGGAGAGGCCAGGAGGAGGGTAGGAGGAGGAGGAGGAGGAGGAGGAGGAGGAGGAGGAGGAGGAGGAGGAGGAGGAGAGCGCTTGATCATAGCATTCTACATGTACAATGCTCGCATCCACCCGTCTCACTTCCCTTTGGATAATCGATGTATGTGTGCAGTTGCTACAGCAGGCTGAGGCGGGCGTGTGACTGAACTCGTTCCGATGCTACTTGCGAGGATGAGGAGGCTTTGGGAGGTGTCCGGGAGTGTTTGGATGTTTGCGCCCGTATGTCGATGGATTTTGGAGGTTCCCGACGAGTGGCTGGAGGGATCGGCTGGGGTGGAGCAGGAGGAGGAGTAGGAGGAGGCAGAGGAGGAGGAAGAGGAGGAGGAGGAGGCACGCAATCGTCTGCAAAGAAAAGCGTTTTCCCATGGTCCCTGCAGTCGTGGTCAGGACTGATTTGGTGCCATGGATTGTTTTGAACATCGCAGCCAAGAATCACAGAAGCCCGCCGAAGAGTTTCACACCTGCCACCCCTGCAGACGCGGGTGTCGGATCGAGGGCCCCCCCCTCCCCGGCGCGCGCATGTCGCCGCGCCGTCTGTTCCGACGCGCGGCCTTCCGTCTTTGAGGACGCCTCGGACGCGGGGCCTGCCGTGGGCTCGCCGTGGTGGTCGGCGTCGTCCACCTGGGCGCCTCGAGCAGAGACGGCGCGGCGACACACGGACGTGTCAGTGAAGATCCAAAAGCCCCCGCGGGACGCCGTGGGCCCCACCTGCTGTGCTCTGCTGTGCCCCCACGAGGCCGCGCCCCCCCCCCCCCCAGCCAGGCCACTCCTGCCCCCCCCCTCTCGCCCGAAGGCGGCCTCGGGTCATGAAAAAGCATGACGGAGGGTTCTGCGCTACCGGGGACCGTACTGGCCCTCGGGGCCGAGATGGGACACGCAAAGACATACTGGTACTGTATGTTCTCCTTGGAGGCGAGCGGCCGACCCGAACACGTAGTATACCCATCTTGTCGTATATCGTTTCCCGAGCGGTGTGGCCAGAAAACGCCTGCCACGACGCATATACTGCAAGATGTCATTTCTCGGTGCGCGCGCCGCCCCTGGGGGGGCGACGCACACATAGTATTTGCGTGTCAGGGTGGCGCCGACGAGATGCAAAACCGGTCCAGGGGAATGGGTCCAGACCGTGGGGAGGAGGACGAGGAGGAGGAGGGGGAGAGGAGGAGGAGGAGGAGGTGGAGGAGGAGGAGGAGGAGGAGGGGAAGAGGAGCAGGAGGAGGAGGAGGAGAGGACGAGGAGGAGGAGGAGGAGGAGGAGGAGGAGGAGGAGGAGGAGGAGGAGAGGAGGAGGAGGAGGAGGAGGAGGAGGAGGAGAGGAGAAGGAGGAGGAGGAGGAGGATGAGGAGGAGGGAGGGAGGGAGGGAGGGAGGGCAGGAGGGAGGCAGGGATGGAGGGAGGGAGGGAGGGAGGAGGAGGTGGAGGAGGAAGAGGACCCGACCGTGGGGGGTCCCACGGCATGCGAAAAGAGTCATACCGTCGGAGGTCTGGGCCTAAGAACCGGCCCCAGGACGCCATCCTTGGCCACTTCCGTCGGCCGACCCCGCTCAAACCACGCTTCGACATGGCCTTCCAAGGCCTTTGCAGCCTCATCGCGCGTCCTCATGAGACGGGCTGGTTGTAATCGAGTCCATACAGCTCGCCCGCCGCACCTTTTTGGTCCAACGCACTCATGGGCAGCCCAGACGAGGGTGCCTCCGCTTGGCCCCGAGGCGACTTGCCTCGGGATTCCCGGGCTGGGCTGAGCCGCCCACACATTCATCCCCGCTGCGAGAGTGTACGCCTCTTGACTACCAGGGCAGGTCTGTCCGAAGAGGTGAGAGGTCGCCTGGGAGTGATTTCTTCGCTGTGCGTTCATACGGGGAGAGCTTGAGTTGAGCCTGACTGGCGTCGCGAAGGTCGCTCGTGCCCACAGTGCGCAGCACTCGCGCACCCGGTGCGCACGCGACGCGCACACGGAGAGGAGAGCCGCGGGGCGCCCGGCCTAGACAAGCGGAAGAGGTGGCGCTTCTGCGCTGGTCCGGAACGGCGCCACCGCCTGGCCCCACGGCGACGGGCCTTGGTCGGGCAGGCCCGGGGCGAGGACAACTCGTATTGAGTCGGGCGCGCCCCTCGACAGGAGGTATACTCAAAACTAGTAAAACAATGATCTGGGCACGATTTCTTGAAGTATTGTGGAACCACTCTGGGATATGTGTTGGCAATTGTTCATTTTCGTCGAAAATATCCATGTCGGAGGACATGCCCGACCTAAAACTCCTCCCAGAGCGCTCTGGGCCCCCCTCCGCGTGGTTGTCACCATCCCGCCCCCGACGGCCATGGTGCAGGGGCCGCCTAGGCTGGAGCGGCAGCTACTCACGCACACATGCGCAGTTGTCCCGCCGTGGTTCTGGCCAGGCGCTGCCCGAGACACGAGAGACACACCTGCATCTTCGGATGCAGTTCCTGGGAGGGCAAATTTCGACTTTGCCCTGGTCCGAAATCTGGCTTAATCCGGCTTCATCCCGCTCAATCCGGCCTAATCCCGCTGAGTCCGTGGCCCACTCCGGCGTAACAGCCCCCCAAGGGGGCTTAATCCTAGACCTTCATCCTTCCGACGAAGACGTCCCAGTAGTTGCCTCCTGATGTATCCGGCGGGGCACTCGGTTGCGCATCGGTTTCCCGACGCAGATCTAAGGAACGGCCCGAAAACCGGAGCCCCAACGGGCTCGGGAAGAGGAAACGGGCTGTCCAGAGGAACTTGTGATAAGCTGACTCAACCCCGTCCGGCCTGCGAGCTGCAGCCCCTGAGCCAGACCGAAGGAAAACAAGCCTCTGAGGGCCGCGCCCAGCCGCCCGACGCGTGCTGCATGCAAGTGCCCGTGAGCTGCCACAGCCTGCGGCGTGACCTTCGGGGGCAACGATAGGGGGGGATAGGCATAGGGGGGGACGCATCGACCCCCAATCGCCCATTGATCGCCGCTAGGGGCCCGATGGCCCCAACCTGCCCAGGAAGGTGCGGACTCACTATCGGAGGCCTATCGCCGATCTATCGGCGATGTATCGCCGATTCCAGGTCGATATATGCCTATCCCCCCCCCCCTATCGGTGCCCCTCACGTGGGCTGCCACGGCCTGCGGCGTGACCTGGCCTGACTTGCCTTTGTCTGGCCTGGGCTCTCCCCCCTGCGGCTCCCGACGAGGCCGCGGGGGGCCCCGGCCCCCCAATGGCCCGGCGCCGCCGGGCCCCCGAAGGAGAAGGAGAGGATGAGCGCAGCTACCTTTCAGTCGGGCGTGTCCCCCTACAGGAGGATTCTCGACGAAAACTTGAAAATACCCCCAAAATGCGCCAAAATGGCAAAAAAATATTCAAAAAATAGTCCTCGGACTATTTTTTAGCTTTTTTTGATTATTGTTTCTGGGTAGTTTGTATCTTTCGTCGAAAGTCCCCGTGTAGGGGGACAGGCCCGACTTAAAGCTACCTTTCTACTCGCCCTGGACCAGCCATCACGCTTGCGAATTGTAGTGGGTCCGTGTGGGCAGGGACCCTTCGCTCCGACTGCCATGCGCACTGATAGGTGCGTATGCGCGTATTAAACGTGGAGGTGTGCGTGTGTGTGCGTGTGTGTGTGTGTGCTCAAGTGGTTACAGATGCGCGTGTCTCGTACATGAGGTCCGGATTACCCCCCACGCATCCCGAGTCCGAGCCGAAGGAGGGGGGCGGGAGAAGTATAACGAGGAGGGGAGCGAGAGGGACGAGGAGGAGGACGAAGATGGGGAGGACGGGGAGGAGGCAGGAGAGTATCCTCCTCGTCCTCGCCGTCGTCTCCCTTTTCTCATCCTTCTTCCTCCGTCGTCGTCCTCCCTCCCCGCTCCTCCCTCCGTCGTCTTTCTCGCTCCTCCTCGTCCTCCTCGCTTGCGAGGCCATGCAGCCGGGCGAGTTCAGGATCCCAGGCTTGGCCTGGCTGCCCACGGACATGAACAAGTGGCTGCCTGGTCACGGACTACTGGCGTGGGGGCCGACTGGCAAATTCTGGAGGCTAGCGCCACATCCGCCAGGAGGAGGAGAAGGAGGAGAAGGACGAAGGAGAAGGTTCGAGGTTCGAGGATCGCCATTTCTGAGCGTTGTTGCCATCTTCGGATCTCCGGGAGTCTTCTAGTCGCCACGGCTGGATACGCTTCGCAAGTCTTTACGCTTCGTGTGTCCCCACCAGTCCATTGAAAAACCCTGCCCACGAGAGCTAACGGGAAAAGGGACCAAGAGTCACATGAGGCGCTCAAAAAGAGGGCCTCGCCTTCGAGGATAGAAGGGGTTGTCATCTCTTCCGCCGCGGAAGGCGGCGGAAGGGCGGCGGACGGTCGGCGGAAGCCTAACGAGGCCGCCTCCGCCGGCGGAAGAGCGGCGGAAGGCGGCGTAAGTAAAAGAGGCGCTCTCAAGCGATGGAAACGCTTTTGGGTTCAGGGTTTCCGAAATCGGCCATGTAGTGAATCAAAGTTGACAGCCTGGGTGAACAGAGAGATCGCTGTGAGCAAGGGGGGTGGCCTTGGAGGGCCTCGTCGAGCCATCCCTGGGGTCCGCGCTGGGGCGAGGGACGGAGCAAGAGGTGGAGGAGGAGCAGGAGGAGGAGGAGGACCACGACGACGACGACCATGATGGAAAAGGAGCAGGAAGACGACGAGGGCAAGGACGAGGACGAGGACGAGGAGGAGGAGGGGGGGGAGGAGGAGGAGGAGGAGGAGGAGGAGGAGGAGGAGGAGGAGGAGGAGGAGGAGGAGGAGGAGCGAGGACGAAGACACAGCCATGGAGTTTCGCCTCTTGGAGCCTTCTTGGGACCCGTTGGTGGGGGGATCTTGGGGTCCTCTTGAGGCTCTTTTAGGTGGTCTTGGGGCTCTCTTGGAGCTCTCTTGGGGATTCCTATGGGTTCCTCGGGAGCCCTGGAGGGCCTCTTGGGGCCATCTTGGAGGCCATCGATCACACGGGGGGTCCTCGATGTTCCTCCCCCCCTGGGGGCGCTCTTGGGCCGCTCTGGGTGCTCTTAGGGCCCTCTGGGGGGCCTCTTGGGCCTCTCTTGCGCCATCTTGAGGCTTCAAAATCACATGGAAGCGAAAAGGGGCGAAGTCAAGAATCATTTGTTTTCCATAGATCGTTGAAGGGTAGTGCCTCTGGGGTGGAGCAATTGGAACCGTCTTGTGGCCCTCGTCGGGCTTCTTGACGTTATGTCGGAAGCTATCTTGAGCCGTCGACGGCTGCAATGAGCCGTCTTGGAGCCATCTTGGAGTCTTGGACGCCTCTTGGAACCATCTTGGGCCATCTTGGACGCTCCAACCCCTCCGCCCTCCCGCCCAGACCCAGGGGGGAAGGTAATAGAAAGAAAGAAAGAACTCGCGAGACCACCTTAGTCCAATGGGCTGGTGGGATGCTGGTCGGGACGCATCCCTGACCTGAGAATTTAATGTTGATTGTATCGGCAGCGTGGTGATGAGAAAGAGGAGAGAGACTGACGCTGCGGGCCCGGTCGATAGCGTATTGAAGCGGGGGACAAGCAGGACGACGAGGAGGCGGGCCAGGATGAGGACAGGGAGGACCAGGGTCAGGAGCCCTTTCTGTCTGTTCCCCCCCTCTGTCGTCTTCTTTCTGGTCCCGTCCTCTTTGCCATTTCGTAGTATATTTCTGTGCGCGGGGGCTCTTTTTGTCATCCTGCCCGGGTGCATCGCAGTGCCGCAGGAGGGGAGCTCCCTCGTGGCAAGTTCTACTTGCATCCCCGGTACCACATCGCCCTCCAAACCCAGACCCCCGGCGCCATGCATTGTTCATGACGTGGACCCCCAGCGCGGTCTGGACCCATTACCCATCCTGACTCGTTTTTTGACGGCCCCGAGGGCCAGTATACAGTCAACCCGCATAGAAAGGATGGTCCACCTTCCCAAGGGAACCCTTGCATCCTTGCCTCATCGGTCCATCCTTAGCCACCTTCGTTGGCCGCGCCCCGCTCGAAAAGCTTCGAGATGGGCTTCCAAGGCCCTTGCACCCTTATCGAGCATCCTTACTATTTACGGGTTGACTGTAAGGGCCCTCAGGGGCCGAACGTAGCGAAAAACCTACCGCGCTGGTCTTCTCATGGCCCGCGGGCGTCTGGGCGGCACGCAGCCGGCTCCCGGGGCCCTGAGGTCTGGCCCGGGCAGCCAGCACCGAGCGGACAGCTCGCGCTCCCCGCGGGGAGGGACGAGGGGAAGGGGGGGAAGGGCGGGAGGGCGTCCTCCAGGGGGGGGCGGGGGGGCGGGGAGGGGGATCGGGGGAGGAAGGGTGAGGAGCTCGCGCTCTCCCAGGGAGAGAAGGGGGGGGGGGGATCCGTGGATCTGGAGTCCCGACACGGTGCGGTGACCGACCGTGCGGTGGCCTCGAAATCCTCCAAGACCTCACCGCACTGTCCGTCACCGCACGGTCTTGGGGCTTCGGAGGCCCCATGCCCGAGAAGTCCTCGGAGAGGGACCCGAGTCCCAAAACCGTGCGGTGACCCCGAACCCCCACCGACTCACCGCGCGGTGTGGTCACCACCCCGTTTGGGGACCCCCTAGTGGAGGGAAGGGTGGGCACCCCTCCCTCCACTGGGGGGAGGGGTCCTCCTCCCCCCCCCCCTGGGCACCGCCACTTCTCCCCTGCAAGCTCGACGGTGCCCACCCTGCAGCGCAGGGCCGCTGCGCTCTGTCACGCGCCTGGTGGTCGCGCAAGGGCGGGGCCGACGGATATGAGCCGGAGATGACCCTGAACAACGTCGGAGGGCGGAGGGCGGCGGAGGGAGGAGGGCGGCGGAGGGAGGAGGAAGAGAATGAGGAAGGGGGGGAGGGGGGAGGAAGAGAGGGAAGGGGGGGTGGGGTGGGAGGGCGTCCTTCCCGGGAGGGACGGGGGGGGGGGATCCGGGGAGGAAAGGAGGAGCTTGCGCCGCTCTTCCGGGGAGGGAAAGGGGTGTGTACTTCTTTGCATGTTCGGAGGACGCGGATTCGACACGGATTCGACGTGGATCGCGGCGCGACGGGACCGACATGGTCCCCCGAAGATGCAACGCAAGGGGGGGCACGGGCCCCGGGCACGGCAGGAGGAGGCGCAGGAGAGGCTGGTCCAGGAGCGAGCCCCAGGGGGTCCGGGGCCTGGGCCGCTTCCCCTCGGGGCTCTTCTGCCTCGCGGCAAGGATGTCGTACGGTCATGCGGTCGGTTCGGGGTTCGTGCTTGGTGGGCGTTCTGGTGCATCCTGGGGGAGGGTCTCCCTCGAAGTCTCTTCAGCTTGGCCAGCGGAGGGCCTTATGGAAACGAAAACGTAGTGCCTCGAGTGTCTCGTGCAGTCTCCAGCCAAAATGGGGTTCGAGCCCGAATGTTATTTGAGGGAGGAGGACGAGGAGGAGGAGGAGGAGGAGGAGGAGGAGGAGGAGGAGGAGGAGGAGGAGGAGGAGGAAGGGGGCGGAGGGTCTTATGTTCTGGGGGAATATTTTTGCTGTCCCAGGCCCGGCCGCGCAATGCCGAGGGGGGTCACCATCGGGGGGGATCGCCATCTCCTCCTGAGGTTCGAGGGTCGAAAGGTCGAGGGTCGAAGAGGTTTCGGACGAGCTTGGACGTTTTGGGGAGGTGTTGGGTAGCTTCGGGTCGCCCTGGGGGAGCGCGCCCTCCTCGAGCAGTTTTCGACCCCCCTCGTGGGGACCACCCCCTCGGCGTCGACCGAAGAGGGAAGGATGGCGGGCGGGTTGTGGTGGGAAGGCCTCGGGACGAACGGAGGGGGCAGCGCGTACCCATCTCCCTCGCACGGGGCACTCCCCCGTATACACCGCAGCCACCCGAAGTGATCTCTTCCTCTTTGCCAGGGAAGGGGTGGGGAAGGGAGGAGGGGGCTGGAGGAGGAGGAGGAGGAGGAGGAGGAGGAGGAGGAGGAGGAGGAGGAGGAGGAAAAGGAGGAGGAGGAGGAGGAGGAGGAGGAGGAGGAAGAGGGGGGAGGGAGGAGAGAGCTGGAGGAGGATGAGGAGGAGGAGGAGGAGGAGGAGGAGGGAGGAGGAGAAGGAGGCGGAGGAGGAGGAGTGAGAAGGAGGATGGAGAAGGAGGCGGAGGAGGGATGGTGGAGGATCGAGGAAGAGGATGGAGAGGAGGAGAAGTGGGGGGAGGAAGATCAGGAGGAGTGAGCAGGAGTGGGGAGGACGAGGGAGGAGGATGAGAAGGTGGGGGATGGATATCGGGGGCGAGGACGGAGCAAGAGGGGGCCCATACTATTCCCGACACGGGATTCCTTTCAGATGCGTGGCCTTGGAGCTCTCGATCCCTGCCCGCGCACGCTGTCAGGAACGCTGACTTGGCGTTTAGTGCCGCCGGTTGTGGCCCACCACGCTTCGGCGCAGCACACCAGCGCGAACCACGTCCCCGTCCCCAAGCGTCAACGTCCCGAGCCTTTCCCCAGCCTCCCGCCTTGCCGAGCGGAGCGACGCGCTGGCAGTTCGCGGGGCATGCCGGGTCGCCGGGGCCGCTGCCGCGACACGCTAAGCAAAAATGCTTGACCGTAGTTTCATTCGTCATTCGTCCAGGATCGTCGTTTGATGGCCTGGTGTCCAAGGAAATCTCCCCGGAGATTGAAAGCAACGAACGATATTTTGTCTTGTTCAGCGTACGGGAGAAAGGTGGTGGGAAGGTCTGCGTCATGACTGGGCCCTGGCTGAGCGCCGTCGCGACCTTCTTCCTGGCCATGACCGCGGCGGAGTGCTCTGAGAGCACTGGCGTTGGCGTGGTCGCTGCTTCGTCGTCGACTTCGTGGTCGCTGTCGGCGTCGTCGCGTCGTCTTCGTCGGCTTCGTCATCCTCTCTTGCCTCCTCCTCCTCCTCCTCCTGCTACCTGTGCTCCTTGTCCCTATCCTCCTCGTCCTCCCGCCTCCTCATTCTTCATGTCCACGCGCCAGGAGGGCACAAGATGATTCTTCTCCCTCCTGCTCCTCATACTGCTCCAATCTTGCTCCTTATAAGCCCTCAGCTACTCTCTTCGTCTCCCATTCCTCCTCCTCCTCCTCTCCATATCCTTCACTCTGTTTCCTCCTCATCCATCCTTGTCGTCCTTCTCCATTCTACTATCCAGCTGCCTGCGCCAAGTCCCGTCACCGTGCCAGCCCAGCATTATTGGTGGCGATTGTTGGTGGGGGTACGGGAGGCCGTCACCTGTGACATTTCGTATCTCCAGGGTTGGGAGAGCAGTGAACATATGCATGATGTTGGTGATGAGGATGCTGCTGTTGCTGCTGATGATGATTGTGATGCTGACGACGACGGCGATGATGACGATGATGATAATGAGGATGCTGCTGATGTTGATGATGATGATGATGCTGATGATGGTGATGGTGATGATTGTGATGGTTATCAGGGTGAGGGTGAGGGTACTGAGGATGGTTACTGGTATGATGAGGACACTGAGGGTGACGATGCTGATGCTCTTGGTGATGGTGCTGTGGATATTGATGAAGATGCGGATGAGGATGAGGATGCTGATGGTGGTCGTGATGAGGATGATGATGTTGATGATGTCGATGATGGTGATGATGGTGCTGATGATGATGATGTTGATGATGCTGATGATGATGATGTTGAGGATGCGGATGGCAATGGTGATTTATGATGATGGTTACGCTGATGTTGCTGCTGATGATGACGACGATGACCTGATGATGACGATGCCGAAGTGACGACGACGATGATGATGCTGATGGTGATGCTCCTGATGATGGGGACGAAGAGGAGGATGAGGAGGACGATGATGCGGACCATGAGGGTGCTGATTGTTGATGGTGGTGGTGATGATGGTGAAGGTGTTGATGATTGGTGGTGGTGATGGTGATTTTGATGCGGACGTCGAGGCTGCTGTTGACGATGATCAGGAGGATGCTGATATGATGAGGATTAGGATGCTGATGCTGATGATGATGATGATGATGATGATGCTGATGATCACGATGATCACGATGATGCTGATGGCGATGCGGGCGATGCTCCCCATGCTGATTACTATGACGATGCCGATGACGATTGTGATGATGATGGCGATGCTGGTGATGATGCTGCTGCTGATGATGATGGTCATGGCGGTGATAATAGTGATGACGCTGAACATGATTATGGAGGAGCTGATGGTGATTTTGCTGCTGGTGATGATGATGATGATGATGATGATGAAGATGATG